GTCATGTTGTATTTTAAAAGAATTACGTGTGTTTTTTTAAACTATGAGGGGCTCTTCCAAAAATATATGGACAGGGATTGCTGTTAAGAATCCAAGTTGGGAGGATTAGGTATAGATTTCCGTTTTGAAGTGGTGGCCCTTGTATTCTCTACAGTTTCCATAGGTGTACTAACTTTTCATATAAATCTTGGTAAGTCATTTTCTGACTGTTCAATATAGTGTACGTGGCAGCTTTACTGCATGGTTTATATTTTTAATTTGTGATAAACCTAAACTGTATAGATGATGCAGAGAACTGTCCTACTAATATTTTCACAAAATTTTTTAACCGGGCTTCCTATTCTGTCATGTCATATATTGCCTTGTATTATCTTGAAGGAGAAAATACTTTTCATCTGCTCTTGTAAAGTACATTGCAATTTAACGTATATGACAAGCAAACAACAACTGTATAATGGCTTTAATCATATTAAAAAGCATGACACAGGTTATCTTCATGGGCAAGAATTGTAAAATAACTTTTACAGAATTGGTACTGTGTTGCTAGTCCATAAATAGCTTCAGAACAACTTTACAAGAAATGATTAATTTTGAAGAGAAACACAAAGATGACTAAACTATAAGTTTTGTCAAAGGTTGAACCAAATTATAAACATAAGGTGTTATTCTTCCTGTACAAAGCAGCAGTGTCTTAATTTTTAATAAGCATAATAATAAAATTGCAGTTGCATTTTTTATTATTAGCAGTATATATTTTATTTTTATTAAAGTTAATTTTTGCCATGTTGGGAATTCTACTAATAATGTATAGTGAAATTCAGAATGGCTGAAAAGCTGTGCACATTTAGCCTTTTTCGTCATCTGTACTGATTCAGAGGGCCCATAAATCTGTAGAAGCTTTTTCTGGTAGAAATTACCCTTTGCTTTTAATATTAATTAGCTGTGATGGATCAAAGGTATAATATTCTTTACTGCTGTATACCTATGCACTTTAGTCTTAAGGGGGATGAATTGGTCGATACTGCCAAGTCATCTGTTGAAACTGTGCACCACTTTTCCCCCCTTCTAGCTATCAAAGGGGTTTAGAGAAAAAGCATCTCATAAATGATAATCATTTATATGGCTTGGAAATATTCACAATAAACTGATGTAAACTTAAGAGGTCAGTGCTAGATTTTGAACAGTCCTGTTTCTTTATATACTTTGTTTCATCCATTATTTTATTCTTGCTCATGAGCAGTCTCTGTACTGAGAAAGGGAATTGATTTGCATTGCATGCAAAAGTTTTTCATCAATGCAAGTATTATTAAATGTCCCATTCCGAGCTGTTTTAGATTACTGTGTTTTATAAATGCAGACATAGCTTTTGAGTGACTTCACCAGAACAGCATATTCTTTCCAAGTCAACACCTTTAGTTTCTAAGATAGAAAAAATGATTAAAAAAAAAAATCTGTATAAAATCATTTTGTCCTGCAAAATTTTATCTTGTGATATTCAGACATTAGCATTATTTTATTTTGAAACTAATGCTTTTGTGATAAATTCCTATTTTTAACATTTGTGTACAGAACTTTTACTTGGTTTTAATTGATTTTACTCATTTTATTAGTTGTATTTAATGCAAGATATCATGAGCTCTGTTGGCATATTTACAAGATTTTTAAGTTTTTTCCTGATGCATAATCATTAAAATTCATTTTCTGTGTGACTTTCTAATTAAATGAACTGCATGCATGGGACATTTTCTAGTATGCAGTAAGAATGAGCTAGTTTCTGAGAAAAATTATTTAATGAAACCATATGTTTGTAGTTAGAGAAAGCTTTTAAAAGTGGTTTATCATAGTAAATGTCTGCTTACTGTGGAAAACAGTAAAAAATCGTGTATTGTAAATCTGGCTTATTTAATAACTGTATAAGGTATTTTCTTCCCCCTTTCTGCATGCCTTCATGGTGTAACTGTTAGCACACTCGGCATGTATTCAAGAGGTCCAAGTTTGAGTCCTAGCGAGGACATTACTCATTTTTCATGTCTCCTGCTTCAAAATAACCTAATGTCTCTACAGCTGTCGTAAAATAATTCATAATAAGAAAATTGCCTTGAATAAATGTTAATTTTTTGCTTTTCTTGTTTTTCATATATAATAAATGTCTAAATCATAAATTTGAATTATTAAAATGCGGAACATAATATTCTTTGCATGTAGGACTTGTTTTTAACATCTAAACACTTTGATTGCCACATCACCTGTATTCAGATGACTGCAAAAATTCTAATCAGGCTACATCATCCATATTCGGTTGACAGTTCTGTACTACTCACAATGTAAAGTATGTATTTGAAAAAATGATTATTGAAAGAAAAATGATTAATGCCAATATCTAAATTCATTCCGTTCACTAAACTGAATTGTGCTTCCTCAAGAACAATTTGTGTAAAATGTGATCAGTAGTATCTACACATTTATTTTCGCTGCATTTATCAGTGCTTGAAGCAGAATCTGAAGATGTAATTTTGTTTACTGAAAAATCTTGACTGTTTCTTATTGCTACGATATGAATTTGTATAAGCCCGCTACAGGTTTCTTCATCACTGCTATATGATTAAAAATTACTTTCATTTTTTATACTCTACAAAAAGTTAGGGCAACAATTTTAACACAAAACAAATTCAACCATTTGTCACTACAGAAAAAATATTTGGAAAAGAAATAATTTTTTAATCTTTCACCCTCTTTTAGATACTTTCATGGTTGAGGAAAGATTTTAAACTGAATGCATGTCCCAAAATGTTTTGCTCTAGGTGTTCTAAACTCTTACAGTCAGAAACAACTGACACATAGTATAACAGCACTCATGGCTTAAGGGAGATTTTCTTGCAAACTCTCGTGGCAGTCAACATGTTAAAAACCTTATAAAGTTTTTATAGTTGAATTAAGTCTTGTCTATTACAATTGTTTTGAGAACTTCTCACTTGTACTGTAAATATCTTACAGCCACTGGCTTAGGAAAGATATATGACTGAGCAGTATGCTCTGGCTAAGTATACAATTATTTGTTAAAATAATTCTCACGGTGTCTTGAATTCTGAGTATTTTGATTTTTAAATATTGCCTTTCTGTGTAAGGAAGAAATAACTAAATGGATAAGAATTTGTCTTTGAAAATATGGCAGAATTTTAAATATTAATTTATTTAACTTGGAAACTTTAATAAAAGTAAAATTAGTTAAAAAAACTTTTCATAAAATCTGAGTTTAACATTTTGTTACATCTTGTACTACTCTAGACATTGCAATGCCTAGTGTATGGCGGATACTAAAAGTATTTTCTGGATTTTTTTAAGAATTGTTGGAATGTTGGGGAATTGTGTATATTACGTTACTTCTTAGGTTACTGGGAATTAATTTTTTGCATTTTAAACTAAATTACATGCAAGTATTTTTTGTGAACTTTTTAAACCTAAGGGTATATCTAATTTTCTAATATGTGTTACATATATATTTTATATAGAGTTACAATGGAATTGTCTTCTTTGCATTTATATTTTAATTTGGAAATTTTTAGAAGCTAATTAACCTTTTGCGGCACAGCGTGTCTGGTCTGGACACATCTAAAAATTTCCTTCTGTATACACAGAAAAATTGAATGAAAAAGGATTTATGTGTTACTATAGGTTACTCTGAAACTTCTTTATTTCTACTAGATGGCAGCTCAACACAAACCAGTCTATATATTTTAGCCATGTTTAGTTTTTTTTAAGACCCTCATTTTTCACAGAAATCTTCCAGATTATTTTTAGAGTATAAAAGGAATTGTTTGAAAGGAAATTTCTATTTTTTTGGCTGTATGCTAATCTCTTTATTCTATATTAGTTTTAAATGTTTACCTTGAAATCTTGCCTAAAATCAAATGGCGAATCCTAGGTGTGCCCAGACCGCCCTCACTGATAATCTAGGACAACTGGAGAGTCTGTATTCTTTGTTTTTCCGCATCTCGGCGATCAGTTTATTGACAACAATGTTCGTTTCAGCACTCTTTTCGAAGCCCTATCCAGCCAGTGTGCCCACTTTGGACATACCCACAGAATTAAACGATAAGTGCTATCTTCACAAAATTTTACTTGCGTACTCCTCTAGGCCTAATTAGACTGTCTACCTTTTTTTTTTAATCAAAACTCCAACTTTAAAAGGTAGCATACTGGAAAGGGTTAAGAGTTGGTTCTTTTAATAAAACTCTTGGTACTTAAGCTGATTAACTCTTTGTGCTCGAGTGGCACCCAGCCGCTTTGAAGTGTCCACTTAAGCGATGCTGCTGCAGCACCCCGGAAGTTTGAATATCCATTCGAGCAGTGTCCCTAGAGCATTCAGGATGTTTGATGTGTTCACTCAATGTATGCTGTACTGCCGCTATGCCATTTTGGAAGTCTATCTGTTTGTTTATGATGTGCGATAAGATATTATCTGAAGTACTTTTGTTGATCAGTCTCAGCTTGCATTCTTAGCCAAATCTTACTTTAATTAGTCTTAGCATAGCATCTGCTTGAAAAATAAAACTATTAGCTCTTCACTAATTTAACTGAAATTGTTTCGAGTTGAGTTGCTCTTCGCTCGAGCAAAGGCCTCAATTGCAAAGGGTTAAAAACTGAAATAATATTTGCTTTTAAGAGGAAAATATACATTAAAAAAAAAAAAAAAAAGGTCCAATCAAATTTGTGGTTCTGTTATCGAGATTGGATTCAGAAAAGTGTGTGTGCATGCATGTATTATGTGTGTATGTATATCCACATATATATGTGCATTTTTGAATCTGGTCCTGATAAAAGTATCAGATTTGTTTTAAAGCTTTTGTTGGAAAATTTGTTTTTTCAGGTGAAAATTTTAGGGACATTTCTTGGTTCGTTAAGAAAATTCATGTTTGTATGTTAATAAGTGCAGTTATGATGAAAAGACCTTGTATGATTTGAATTTTAATCCAGATAATTTTTTTGTAAATTTCTTCTAGTGTACTGTACGACTTGGCTTGAGTTATTGACCATGAATCTGGACGCGGTTCATGAGATGAATTCTTTCGGTGACCAGATAGTGATGCCTGCTCATACTAATAACATCATGGAAGAAAATATACCATACGAGGCTGCATACAGTTATGATGAACTGTTTCCATCTTTGCCAGAGAATGAAGTTAAACCTGAAGTTCCTGTTGTAGACATGGGTCAGTGGACACAAAAAATGAAACTTAAATCTTCTGTAATTACTCAGGTAATAATTCTAAAATGTAATTATTCAATTATATTAGCATGTCATGTGAATATTATTTCTGAACCTTATCAGTATACAAGATATTCAGAAACTGCTTTTCAGCTTTTAAAAATTTGAGAGTATTAATAGTTGTAATTCATAATGATTTAAGTATAGGTGTAATTCATAATGAATTACAACTATACTTAAATATTCTATCTGTATAGTTATATTTTTCTTTATCCGGATGAGTCGACAAGGTTTCAGTGAGTAGGTAATGTTTCATTGCATTAAAAAGGTTTCAGCATAATGGGAAAAGGATTGCCATGAAAGCATGAAGTAGTTATTGAAGCAGTAGTTAACCATTAGGTACAGACACCTCTATTTCACTTTACCTTTTCTAACATGATATCTTCGTAATTTTCTCATTTCTCACTGACTAAATATTTCATCGCCATTATGATAATTCGTCTTGGAATTTTATTTTTTTTAAAAGCACATTAGTCTTCCAGTATGTTTTAGCATCCAACACCCCTAAATAAGTCTGTCGGTTACATATAATTGAATAAGTGAAAGAAGAGAAAAGCAAATGCAAAACATAGATTCCCAAATTTTGTCTTCAAACAAGCCTTTATTTATGAATGGTGGCTGTGCATTTTTCATGTTAACATGCATATCTCTTTATAGAGCATTTGTAAACATAATTCTTTTGTTATTAACATTAATTTGATGATAAATTTTACTTTTTGCATTCTTTTGAAGTGTGAAATTCAGGTAAATGAAGTAGCATTTAAAAACAATGTACTAGCCAAATTTTATTTTTGGTGTTATCTAAACATTCATTTCATAGAAACATGCATAAATTTTGAGCATTTATTTGCTATTATTACTGCAACTTACTTTGATTGATTGAAACAATATCTTGAATTTCATGAAAGGTTTTTTTTTTAATTTAATATAGCAAAAAATAGTGAATTGCTGCATATGGTGAAGTATAGATAAAATGAATCAAAGTATACATTCAGTATCAATACACATTCACATTTCCTCTGCAAATATCAGCAGATAACTGCTGCTGCAAATTATATTTTTGTTTTTGTGAATTGGTGTAATTTAGGATACAGGATATTTTCAATGTGTGATTTGCTTTCTAAATTTACTAATTAAATTACTATGTAAATGCATTGGCGATGTTTAATTGGAAATTACTGTAAAATGGAAAAAGTTTTCTAATAGTATATAATTGCTAATTCCTTTTGTAACATCTTGTACATTTGCTTTTTAGGTATTCCATGTACCTGTGGAAGAACGGAAGTTTAGAGATATGAATAGCCAACGTTTTGGAGAGCAAGGTGAGCAAGCAAAAATCTGTGCCGATATCATGCAAAAGACTGGTGCTCATATTGAAATAAGCTCTTCTAAAGATCAGAGCCTCACCATCTTGGTCACTGGAAAGGAAGAAGCAGTACTTAAAGCACGTCGGCAGATTGTTAAAGAATTGCAAACACAGGTTAATTTTTGTTTTTTAAAATAGCTATTCTCTTATAAACTAATACCAATATAAAATTTGCTTAAATTAATACATTTTCCAAATGCTATTTAAATATTTAATTATATTTTAGATACTGTAGTCTTCAACTGTAGCATTTAGGAATATTTATTTTTAAAGAATGAGAATTACACAGTATAGCCACATTTGAATTGCTATGAAATTCACATAAGCATGTAAAATTAAAGAGTCCGCTGCAACTTAGTTGGTTTCATCATTCCTTATCTTTAGGAAATGGCTTCAGATTTCCTGGAATGCGAAATTATGAACATGAAAATTATTTAGTAGTTCTGTTCAAATTGTTTGTTGTTCAAGCTTGTTTTAATTTAACATTTCATGCAAAACTTGTTAGTGGCCAAATAGGTTGCGATTTCATCAAATCTTATAAAATTAACTATTTGAAATATGAAACTATTTCATTATAATATGCATATATATAACACTTAAAATATATGCATTTTAGCATGACCAGCAGTGAAAGTGTTGATAGTTATTGCTCTGAAGTCGTAGATTGTATCCATATTCCTACTTATTAAAAAAATTATATTTAAAAGCTATAACAAAAGGTGATTATTTGTATCACAGTAATTGCTTAGCCTTTAACAGAGAAATTTATGACTGTGTTCCAGTGTGTGATTGGCATTAGAGAAAATAATTTCTCCAGTGCCATATGGTACAAAGTCCGAAATCCAGACGTCCATTATCTGGAATGATCTAAAATCCGGACCTCAAAGCCAGAAACACTTTTTTTTTTTTGTATGCTTTACGCATGTGATTTTTCCTTTCATAATAAAACGTGTGGAGATTTTCACTTAAAAATTTCGATTTTTAATTTCACTTAGGAACTAAATAAAATACTCGTTATAGAAAAACAATCATGTAAGCATAAATTTGTGAGATTAATAATTTGGCTCCATAGTTGACTCTCTGCTTGGCATACATCTCAAACCAAACATTCTCTTATTTTATATCCCTGACCCCGCGAGTCATTATTATATTTTGCTTTCATCACCGCATGTTTATCAATACATGACAGCTTCAGTAATAACTCATGCAGTGATGTCTAAACTTTCTTATATTAGTAATTAAATAACAAGAGTATAGCAACCTTTTATGCTAACATTATGCTTGGCGATGATTATAGATTTGTAAATGCTCTAAGAAATGTTGACAAAGAGAAATTCAACAAAAATTTCTTTTCATATGCTAAAAATAGATTGTTATTGAAACTCATAGGCCAAAATATTACATTTAGTGCTATTTTCATTAAGAATAACTGATATGTTATTCACCATAAACCCAGAAGAGGTGACAGAATATGTCCGCACCGCACAGCAGAATTTGGGGAAGCACCAAGTGGCAAAATTAAGGGAATGAGGAGTTTTTTTATGATTTAGGGAAAGCACATGGGATTTAAAGTTTAAATGTGGTGAAAATTTAGAACTTAGGAAGGCACTTTGTAGCAGAATTTAGGACCTGTAGAGACTGCACCAGGCGGTATCTAGTGCCAGCCCTAGATAAATTCTTAAATATATGTGGGAGTTTATTTATTCAGGACTCAGATTAGTTTAGCATATGCAAGAATAAACGTAGCTATAGTAAATAACTAATACATTTCAGTCTTAATTTCAGTATGCAACAGGAGCAAAACAAAATTTAGTGAAACAACTTAGCTTTTGTCACCAATCTTGTGATACACAGCTAATAAAATGTATAATGGATGCTATTAAAGTTAGGCTAAAATTATCTTTACTGATTTTAAGTCATTTCAGTTAATGTAGCACACTGCGCTGCTCCCTAATCTTCTAATTTGATCCAGCAAATTATTTTCTGCAGACTTATTATTATGGCAATTTGATAAAAATTAAGCTTGAATTTTCAATCATGTTGAAAAGAGTTTCCAATTCTGGAGCTGCCTAAGGATCTACAAAGCAAAACCATGTTTCGATGTCCATTAAACAAAAAGTGGAATAGCTGCAGAAAATGGATAAAGGCATACAAGTCTCAAAATTAAGCGAGGAGTGTGGCATTAGAAAGTCGACTGCATATGACATAAGAAAAAGGACCTTTTTGAATATTTTGTGGAAGCAACTTAACTACATTGAAAGAAATGTTTAATAAAGTAAACAAATAAAAATTAAGCTTTTTTTTAGTTCATAATTGTTCTTTATTTCATAAATTATGATTTCATATTTTTAATTGTATAATTTCTGTATGCCATCTTACTAGATTTAAATTGATGGTCTAATATCCGGAATCGCCAAAGTCCCGACAAGCCCGGATTTGTTTTGTATTATGCATTGGTGCGCAACAGTTGCGAATAAAAATAAGAAAAATAAATAACAATAAGCATTATTTTTCTATAAAACTGCATCACAAATTAATTACAAGGCTGTTACAATGATATTTTCACGAAATGTATATTTAAAATGTTATTCATTTATAACATGAAACAAAAACTTTGGTTTGTTTCAAAGATGCATATATTTACGACTAGTTTCTAACCGTCATTCCATGCCAATGTCAGCATACATACTCAAAACATAATGCCCCCACATCATACCTCAGCACATGCTTGACAGTGAACAAGTTAATTATTTAGGTTTAACAGCTAATTACAAAGATTTTCTAGTGTATTTTTTTTTTGTATTAAGGTTGGGTAATATCCTTTTAACAGGAAATTACATTATTTGATTTAGAATTTCACTTGGAAAAGGAATCTAATATCTTCATAATCACGTAACTTTTGCAGCAAAGCAGAAGTATGTTTTTCTGGTGGAGATTGCTGGTACATACTTTAATTTTATGAAGTAATACTGGATGGATATTCTCGAGTTTTACAGTATTTTGCATTAAAAAAAAATTATCACTTGATATTAAGCCTGTTCTCATGGCTTATTGTAAACTCGCTTTGTTTGAAATATTTAAGTTCAATTCATTTATAAGTAGCTTATTTGACTTTTAATGATTACTTAAAATTACTCAAAAAAGCAGCCCTGATTTAATGTAGATATTGAGTAAAAGTAATACAGTCAAAAAGTATTTAATCCGGACTCGTCGGGACTTCGGCGATTCCAGATTATAGATCATGAGTTTAAATCTGGTAAGATGGCATGCAGAAATTATAAAATTAAAAATATGAAACAAAGAGCAATTATGATCTAAAGGGTATCAAAATTTACAAAAAAAGCTTTATATTTATTTGTTTACTTTATTAAACATTTCTTTCAACGAGCGCATGCGTAAAGCATACATTACGCACAGTCGAAATTAGAAAATTGTAACCGGAAAACTATTTGATGTGTATTCATGATATTTATAATGCGGAGGAATTTATTTAAATCATATCAAAGACGGAATACATCGAGATGAAATACTACATTTAGTAAGGAAATTATAAGCCGAATAAAATAAAAACATCTGCTCTGAAGATAAGGATAGTGCTGACAGATCGACTTCCAGTTCATTGCGAGCCTCGTCCCCCCTTTCCCCGCAGAGCAGCGTGAAATTGATAAACATATCTCGGAATGATTAGAGAATCAAAGGATATGCCTTTATCCATTTTTTGCAGCAATTCCACCTTTTGTTTGATGGACATCGAAACATGCTTTCGCTTGTAGATCCTTTGGTAGCTCCAGAATCGGAAATTCTTTTTGATATAATCGAAAGTTCAAGCTTACTTTTATAAAATTGCTCTAACAGTCTGCAAAAAATAATAAGCCGGATCCAATTAGAAGATTAAGAAACAATGCAATCTGCAACATTAACTGAAATAGATAATTAAATAATTTTAGCTTAGCTTATACCGTTCGTTACACATTAAACGTGCATGCATAAACTTATTATGCGTATGCATAAACATATTATGCGCACGCGTAGATGCATATGTGCATGCATAAAGGTATTATGTGCATGCGTTAATGCAATATGCGTTGATGCATGCACAGTAATTTTGTAACTCTGAGGTCCGGATTATAGATCATGGACGTCTGGATTAAAGACTTTTGACTGTGTAAATTGATTTCACGAGCAATCTGATGCAGGTAAAAAAGTAAAAACAAAAAATTTTGCTTTGAAGAAGAGGGCCTGTGTTAAACTGCTCTTAAAATCAATAGTTTTATTCCTAGTTTTTGTCAGTGCGTGATTTTTTTTCACCCAATTTAAAATTTTATTTGCATCTTTTTCTTCTAATGAAGTGTATCTGTTAGTAGCTCTTTAGTTTCCAGAAGTTCTGGGTCTTTGTCAGAACTTGTATTAAAATAGAATTTTAATTGCGTTGAACATAACTTTTATATGTTGTGTTGGAATATGTTTTGTAATTATTGAAGATGATTACTAACTAGAACATTAATCAATTTCGAAAATAATTTATGATGTTAACATCATAAATTTATGATGTTAATATTTATGATGTTTAATTAGGCTAGCATAAGCATTCCCATCCCTAAAGAACACCATCGTTTTATTCTTGGGAAAAGTGGTAAGAAATTGGCTGACCTGGAATTAAGTACTGCAACAAAAATCACTGTACCGCGCCCAGAAGACAATTCGGACCTGATCAAGATCACCGGTACAAAAGAAGGCATCGACAGAGCTCGACACGAAATTCAATTGATTTCTGATGAACAGGTACGTTTTTGATTCATTTATTTTTAAATTAAGCTAATCAAAGTGTAAAAGGTAATCTACCATTTTTTTAAATTTTGCTTTATAAATCAAATATAATAAGGCAGTATTTTTTAAAAAATCAAATTTTGTGTGAAGGTTTAAAAAGAAAAACTCATTAGATCAGTAATCATTATACTGTGATGTTTGATACCATAGTATGTAAAACACACCAGTTTGCAATTTTGCTGCATATTCATGTTTCATATAACTATTATCTGTATTACCTCCAATATTGCCCATTACTGTAGACTTATAGTAATGAGTGATTTTGGAGTTCATTTATAGTTAACTGCTGATTAACCAGGGTAGTACCAGGTACGGCATATATGGTTAACGTGTAATCATGCTTAATACAAGGGCATTTGAAACAAACCTAGGTAGGGCAATCAAGTTATAAAGCATTGAAAAATATAAAAAATTTTCTTGTATTTTGAAACTTTTTAATGTGAAGTATAAAGTCATTTGAGGGTGTAATAATATGCATGAAAAACTGGAAACTCATTGGTTTGCATTAGATGGGTGTTCCGAATGATGACATCAGACATAAAGAAACATTTGATCAGAAATTTTCAAAATGTTCTCTTCATAATAAATTTTTATTCACATTTTGGGGAGGTAATAAAACATGATTTCATTGCTGCAGTTTAAAAATGAGACGAGAACATGCGGAAACACTGGATCTTGCTAATCTCACAAATTCAAAAGCCAGAAATCTAGGATTTTAGGATGCTTCTATTTTTTAGTTCATTTTATAAAGTGGAACCACTGCTCATTGATTATATACCCATCTTACCATAATAGAGTTTTTTTTAATGCTATTTTTAAAAGTAAAATGTAGAGCAAACTTGGAAGAAAAATTACTTTTGCTCTACAGTGCACATGAGGCTCGAATTTCTGAGACTTACGAAAGATTTTGGAACAGTACGAAAGATTTTGGATTCTTCCTTATCCGTTGTACCCATCAGATCAAGATCCACAGGACTTAATTTCAAAAATTGCAGCATTTGCATGATAGTAATAACAATTGATTGTAGGTTGAGATGAAGATGGAATCTGGTACTTATTGTATCATTATGCGAAGTACATTTAATTCAAGGAGAACTATATGAGAAATTGAGAAAATAAGTTAACATTTATCTTGCACAAGTGTGTTAGGCTTAAAACTTTATGAATAGTTCCTCACATGTATTAGAAATGCTATTACAAGTATCTAATCTGCATATATAGAGCTGTTAAAAAAGTTGTATATAAGTTTTTCTTTTTTTCATTGTCCTAAACCTGGTGGTATTCTGCAGAATCCTTGTTTCAGGTAATTAAAATTTTATGTAGAAGTGGTCGCCGTGAGAGGATTTCATATTGTAGGGATTTTTTTTAATGTGTGTGTTTTTTCAAAACCATGTTTAAATTTGTTCCCTAGCCTCACACTTTGCAGATTTTGCTTGTTTTGAGAACAAGATTAGTATTTAAGAAAACTTAAAAATCAAGTCGCTTATTTGGATATTCTGTTACAGTTTGGTATCTCAGGTCTTTAGCAGGCATTCTGTAATAGGAATTACCTTTTTGCTGAGAAAGCATAACTTCTAAAGAAGGGGGGAAATAGTGCTTGCATCTGTTTTTTAATGTTGCTAAAATTATTCAACAGGTTTTACTTAATCTCTTATAACTTGGAAAACTAAACTTGCATAACATAGATGATGCTTCCATGCTTCAAGTGCTTGGAATTCCGTCTTGTTTATAAAGATACCTGAACAACTATGCTCCTTGCATATTTTAACTGTTTTACAGTTTTATTTAAGTTCTGAAAGATGAGCATCATATTACTGTGAGGCATATTCAGTATGGTATATTCTAACCTTACCATCCACGTGTAGCTGCCTACCAGGAGGCTACATGTTTCATTTGGTTTTGCACGAGTACATATTATTTGTTCTTTTGGATTTCTTTAACTATTAATATTATACATGTAAGATAAAAAATATGTAAATCAGCTGTATAATTTAGTAATGTCTCTTAATTCCTTATTTTTAATCTGGGTATTTTGTCTCTCTATAACATTTCTGGGCTGTACAATGTCTCGATTAATCTATGCCATAGAGCTTGCATAATGCTAATGAAGTAGTTAATTCAGAACCTAAACTCTGAGAATTTAAGCCTTTCTAAACTAAACCAAAACCTTTCCCTTAACAGTCGGTCATGTAGGGTAAATGTGCACTTTACTTTCAACTTCTGTGCTGCTTGGACACTATTTTGCTTTGCGCTCTTCCTATCGTAATAGTATAAAAAATATGAAAGTTCTGAAAATAAGCACAATTAAAGTGCCAAGTAAAGCATGGCCACAAATGTCAATTGAAAATAAATATTTAATATTACTTTTCTGCCAAGTTTCCTAATCACTAAGGATTCAACATTCTAGCATATTGTACGTTCGGAACTCTTAAATATGGATACAGATTTTACGCTATCTATGTGCTGCATAATCAGTATTTCATTGTTTCTAAATCTTAAGAGTTCCTGCATCAGTACTACTATATATATATATATATAATGTTATAATAAAAGCACAAGGAAAGGACGGAACACTGTAGATGCGTGATTAGACCCATATTGAAAAAGATTTTCAGATTGCGTAGTATGCTAGTAATGTGAATTTGGTAATATCTAAAGAACTTGGCAGTCGAGGCAGTTTTAATTCCATTTTTATTTGCAACTGATAGTTGTGGCCACAATCACTTGGCACTCTAGTCGTGCCTTTCCACAGAAGATTTACATTTTTGATATTGTTGAGATAGAAAGCAAGCCAGCGAAATTACATCTTAGCACAGTAGAAAGCAAAAGCTGAAGTGTGTAGTTATGAAAGATGGAAGCATGGCGAAGAGAAAAGTTTTGGTTTACAAAGGCAGTTTCAGTTCCCAATTATTATGTCATCAGAGCTGCGCGGGCCATAGAGTGATCTAGAAATGACGCAATATGTAATGATTTCAAATGCGTAGATGAAAGCAGTGGACCTCCCAACAGCTCACGATACTGCGTAGATGACCGAGAAGACTGTAGTGGCTTGAAGGTGGCAGAGTGGAAAGCATGATGATGCAATTTAGCACAACATATCTTTATTAAAAACACAATCTTTATTATTTTTTCCATGCATATCAAATCATCCTTTTTCAGACAAGATAATTTCTTAATAATATTGAATAGAATAACTCCTATTTTGAAGTACGGCGTCATCTTAAGCAAGTAAGCGGCAGCAGCATGGATTAAAAGCATCTTACCAGCAGGAGAGCTAATGCGGAAAAGGGAAAGCTTATATAAGGACTGTCATAGGAAGAAGGCTGGGAGTAGGAAAGTTTCAGTTCAGAGTTTTGGTTTAGAATTAATTTGATTGGACAAGAGGTATCTGCATTAAAACATTATGTAAGATAGAAAACTCTGGAACCTGTGAGAAGAGATGAATAGGGGTAGATCATCAAATTTAGAATGTTAATTTTGAGATCATCAATTATATTTTGAAACAGCTATCATATTTTGTTATATCTTGCATATCCCCTTATGATGTCTGTGCAATGTGAATTTTTCAGTTTTCTACTATAAGGCACCACTATATTTTTAACGAAATGCAGCACTTTCACCCCACAATATCATTTCTCACAAGAGAAAAAAAGCACACACTAATGAAAATGTTCACAAAGATAACAGTCCAATTTAAAAAACCCGAACTCCATGTTGTAATGTGCCCTCGACAGACCTGGGTTGTCAGTAAATATGTTTTTGCAAAATTCTACATTACCCGTTTCAGCAACATAGTGTGCTGCTTGGTGATTCTTTACAGGTTTGGATAGATAAATCAGAGAAAGTACCAAATGTAGAAAACATTTAATTATGTAAAATTTCTGTTAATCATAATTATGAAGTTCTGAATGATTATTGATTTTTATTTTAAGGCTAAATTGGCTTTTGAGCGACTTGACATTCCAAAAGTTTATCATCCATTTATATTTGGGCCTTTTAATGAAGTTGTTAATCAAATTACAAGTGAAACTGGTGCCAGAATTAATATTCCTCCTCCATCTGTTATGAAAAATGAACTTACTGTTGCTGGAGAAAAAGAAGCTGTTGCTCAGGCTAAAGAGAAGATTCTGCAAATTTATGAAGAGCGAGTAAGTATTTTTTTAGCCTTAAAATTATGAGTACTTATTGTGTGCGCACATGTCTCTTTCATAATTTTCATAATTACCATAGTTCAGAAGAAAATTTAACAAGTAAAAATATTTAAATTAACTTTGAAATAAAAATGTGATGTTATTTTCTTGATTACGTATTTGTACTGAAGTTATTATCCATATTTTAAACTAAACTGACAGGAATAAAAATTGTTAATTATCTTAATTTCAGTTTTAAATGACCAAACTGAATCAGCATTTCAAGTACTAAATAATAATTCAAAATTTTGATTCATAATGCTGTCTGTAAAGCATATTCTTATCAGCTCTAAAAACATTAGAAAGTGCTAAAAACTATACTAACTTCTAACTTTAAAACTAAAATCTGCATGCGTATTTCAATTCAATCTGTCAGTTTTTAATAATTTTATATTTTGAGTACTCGCACAAGAAACTTCGTGAATCAGTTTTTGCCAAGTAATTTTGACTAATACATTTAATGTATGATTATGTGTGAAAATATTTGATAGTTTAGTTTTATACACTTTAGAAAAGAAATTGTCAAGTTGTTTCTGTAGAAGTTCCTAAAAACCAGCATAAATATATCATTGGCCCCCGTGGACAAACTATTCAAGAAATATTATATGAAACTGGAGTATCTGTTGAAATGCCTCCTCCTGATGTGCAGTCTGACACTATTACCTTAAGAGGAGAGCAAGCAAAATTGGGACCTGCTTTAACTCTTGTTTATTCCAAGGTATGTTTTCTAAAAGTAGCTTCATGTGATTGAATTTTGTTAAGCTTTAACATTATGAATTTTTAAATAAATTTTATTTTCTATTTTTACATTATTTGTATTTATGAAGTTTAGTTACTTTTAAAGGAATTATACCATTAAGATGGTTACAGAAATAATCAAGGAGGAAACTCCCTCATTTTAAAGTTTTATATATGTAGAAGGTTGTAGAAAAATGTTTTTATGTAATTTGTGAAGTTATGAATTAAGAAAATTGCCGATTTTGGTAATATCTGAAGGTCTGACCCACTTAATTTGCATTTTTCGTGAATTTTTTTAATCTGCTATTTCCATTTCTCTCATTACAGGATAAAGTGCAAATTTTGAGAAATTTTTCTAAAATTATTTACAAAAATAGCTGTATATAATTTTCTGATTTGAATTTCTATTAATGTGTAAAATTGATTTTTTTTTTTTTTTTTATTGGGAAAAGCTTTATTTCCAAAAAACGTTTTTCAGTTACATGCAAATTTTGAAAATTTTATCAGTGCCATTCTACTTCAAAGACAGTTTAAGTTTGTTGTAGCATTTTGTTTTTAAAATTATAATTGCCATAGTGTTCTCTAGTCATGCTTTTTAAGAGATTTTAGTTGTTAATCCTGAACTTTGGCTTTAACAGAATACTACCATATGTCATGCTATATTAAAAAGCATTAAGAGTTATATTTTGCATCATTATTTGTAATGTCTGCTTATGTGTCTGAGAAATATGGGAATAGTAATTGCCTGCGCAGTTTTTAATGAAACCTTTGCAACAAATAAGATAGTGGAAATATTCAAGTGTAAAAATAATAATTGTAGAACTTTTAAAATATTTTATTGGTAATCCTGTGATTTTATTCTTTAATAGGCAAATAGTGTCAAAACTGCACATGTCAATGCACCCAGTTGGCTACACAAATATATCATCGGTAAAAAGGGAGCAAATATTAAGCAACTGACTCAGGATCTTACAAAGGTACTTTTGATCTGTTAATATCACTGAATGATCAAGTAAACTATGAAAAGTTTGTTTAGTAAATATAAATTTTTTATTTTATTATTTATTAGACCTCTCCTAGAAAACTTTATATGGTTTGCTCCAAAAACTTTATTAAAGTGTTGCTCTGCATGTTTCTATTAAATTAGTTTGTAACCTTTGTAAATTTTTAATGATTTGTACTAACAATTGTTATTTTGTGTCATTGATGGATGTGATACATATTTCTAAGCTAAGCAATTGGTAAAAATGTATTTACGGGTGCCCCTTGGCGAAGATTGACGATTTTTCTCGGTACATGGACACCGAGTTTTTTCAGTTTTTGATTTGTTAGTTTGGCTTTGTGTAGTGGCAGTTTTTACACGGAAAATCTCTGCTTCACAAATCCATGTACACATCGATCTATTTTCACTTAAAAAGGTCAAAGGAGCACCCAATTCTACATTAGAGCCAAATAAAAAATATGTAATCTCAATAAACTATATTTTAAATCAAACAATGATATAAAATAAAAAAAAAGGAAAGTCTTTTTATAGCATCTAAGCACTACACAAAGGAAATATCCACTTACCTTATTTAGAAGTTTCCATATCTTCAGAAACACAAAATTCAAACAAAAAATTCCTTAACAGCATCCAAAAACTTTCCTGAAACCATGTTCCCTTTCTAATAGAATGCTTTATATGGTGAGCATTATAAACCTTTCTTGTGAAAAACCCATTGAAAGCCATCTGAACGATCTTTAGGTTCATTCGACCATGTGCATTTCCTTCGTACAAACAGAACACTTATAATTCCGTTGAATTAAAATAAATTTAGAAATAAAAGTTTTTCTTCTGTACTCAAAACCATTTCACACACACACACACACACCACAAAAAAAAAAAAAAAAAAAAAAAAAAAAACCCTTCCGCTCTTTTGTTCTATGCCACCAAGCACCCACTTTATCCCCAGGGCCGGATAAAGGGTGATTGTGCCCCCGCATTTGAAAAGGCCCCGCGTTACATAAAAGATCATTTTGAACAATTAAACATCATAATGTATTTGGGTTTCTGGGAAAATTTCAAAATATGAAAAAAGAAGTACTTCAAAAACATGCAGCTGAATTAGAAATTTCTCTTAGATTCTAAGTTAACAGAAAATGATGTACCAAAGGTGAAAGAAGCTGATATAGGTGGAAAAATGTTAGTTGAAGAAATGGAAGCTTTGAAATCTATTTTTCCTTCAGAATTTTTTGAAAATCCGTTTAAAATGTTCAAATTTTTATCTGATAATGATAGAGCAACGGCATTTCCAAACTTGTTTATTGCTCTCCGAATATTCTTAACAGTTCCAGTAAGCGTTGCTTCTAGAGAGAGATCATTTTCCAGGCTAAAATTAATAAAAAACTATCTGAGATCGACAATGAATCAGGATACATTAAATAGTTTAGCAATTATGTCGATTGAAAGTGAAGATACAAGGAAATTAGATTTTCAAACAATTTTAGAATTTACAGAACAAAAACTTAAAAATATGTAAATTCATGTATTCGTATTCAGTGATGTAAATTTATATTCAATAAATGTTCTTGTATTTTGAACATTTTTATTTTTTATGTAGAAGTTTACCTGTCTGATGTTCCATGACATTTGATATATATATATATATATACTGAATTTGAATTTTATTTAAATATTTAATATATAGAGAGAGGGCCCCACAAAGAAAAATCCAATCGGGCCTCGCACCTATTCGATCCGGTCCTGTTTACCAAGGCAGCCATTTTAACAATGCACAGCACACAATATGCGACATATTTCCTAACTGACATCCAACAAATATTTTCCCCATCAGTCAAATTCACAGCAATCACCCAGCCAATCACGCCATAATAGGGTTTTCATAAATGAAACAACAACTTCCTGATAATCAGAGGGGCGCCCTTAAATATAGGCTAACCAAGCAATTCAGTTAATATAACTGATGTAATAATTCAATAATTAATATAATAATGTATATTAATTTGCCTTGCTATATTTTTAAGTATTTAAAAATCTCTAAAGATGTACAACATTTATCGCTTTGAATACATTTTATTTTCATTGATGTACAATAAAAAAATTGCATACAAATTTAAGTAAGGCTTCAAATGTGTGTAATTTAAATTGCTGCAAATATAATTAATCAAATAATTTCTGCAGTTTATTAAAATTTATTAGGAAATGGAATAAAATACTTGTTTGATTATTTCTCTTATGTGTATATTTCAGATTTTTATAATAACTGTATTGATTTTAAAAGAATTTCTTTATTACTAAACTATTGAACTCTAATGTAACATATAACATTATGCTGGTTCCAAATTTTAATGTTGCTACAGTTTTGGAAGCACTTTGAACAGTGATTCCAAAAATCTGGCATTATTAAAATTACATACTTGTAATTTATTGCAATCTATGTTTATCTAGCTATCCTGGTGGAAAAAAGTTTAGCAAAAAAATTGTCATAAAAGCAGTTAATAATTGTATAAGAAAAAATTCCTGTTTATTACAATAAATTATTTTATCATTTTATTTATATTAAGCAAAATTGCATTAGAGTAAAATGAACATAATTATTTCATTTATTAGCCTAGTTTTAAACATAATGTGATGTTGTATGATATGACATTGTGAAAGCTAGTATAAGTTAGTCAAATTTTTAATTTCTAAACTTTTGATCAGTTTTCTTTATATAAAAAAGTGACCTTTTTTTAAATGATCTTTGATTATTTGATTCTGTTATTTATAGTTAGCAGTCACTTATCTTGATTTAGAATCTCATGGCATTTTAACAGCCATTGTTTTATATGTTATGTTTAGCATTACATTTTTTGGACATAATATCTGTGAGTACAGCACATTTTATTTGATTCGGCAATGAAAATTTGATTTGCAAAAAATTTTTTGATAGAATATAGCAGGTTAAAATAGGATCAGATAAAAGATGTACAGCAGATAATCATACTGGTAAACATAATTTTGAAACACCCTTTCTAAAATAGGTATACCAATTATTATTAACTGTTTTACTTTTTCCCCCTCTTCCCATAAGAAACATAATACAGTTTTATAAAGTTTCGTAACTAAACATAATAAAGTTTAATAAATAGTTTCATAACTAAATAAAGTTTTAACCATGTAAGATACATTCGGATTTGTATATCAGTATGACAGTGGTTGTTTCACTTATCTGTTTAAAGTAATGCCCTGAACTGTTGAAAAACTCTTAAGTAACTTGATATCTTATTTTACATGTTTATGTAATTAATTTGCATTTGAAATTACCAATAATTCAGAAAAAGCCGATAAACAAAACATTGCTCTTCCTATATGTTAGAACTAACTTTAAAGAAATGCTGTGCATTAAAGCATAATAATTTACTCCAAATGCCCTAAAATTCCATATTCCTCTTTAAACACTGCACTTAAGCTTTTTTTTTTTTTTTTTAAATAGTGTAGTTCTATATTTATATGCTTGTGGTGCTGTTACTGTTTGAAAAAGAAAAAGCAAAGAACGGAGTTAGTTAATTTCTTTTTTCCCTGCTTTATAATTGTAAATTCAGTTGTCACAGGAGTTTGTTAAATTTTATGAAGCCATTAACATTGAAATAACTCCATCTTAGGATATTTAAAACTATTTATTGATATGATGAAAACTACATTCTTTATTATGTGCGTTCCTTTTAAACAAGTATGTTTTCAAGCTATGATATTATTTAACTAAAATAAACCAATAGTAATAAGTTAGATCCTGTCTTGCATGCTTTTGGTCTCTCCCACCAATTGCATTACAGTAATTACAAAATAACAGAGAAATAGACTATGTTATTACCCTTCACTGGAAAGGTATCCTTTTCTTATACATGCTATAACTATTTATGTAGTACTAGTGCTTTTTAAGGCTTGGTTCATGATGGGGTTTTAAGTTAAAAAGTATTTCATATTCTTTACTGTGCAATTACTTTCACATTTTTTAAATATATCCTTATGTTAGTTGTTAGCTGTGTCTGACTCATTGTTTTATGGTTGCTTGCTAGATTGCTTTATAAATTAAAAAAAATTACTAAGGTAAGCACTTTATATTTATTACTTGCACATGCAGTTTATTATAAATAGACTATTTTAGGTTCAAGTTGATTTTGCTGATGGACATGATAGTATTAAAGTTGAAGGACCACCTGAAGAAGTTGCTGAAGCTATTAAAAAATTAGAAGAAATGACTGCAAATCTATTGAAGCAAGTTGCTTATGAAGAAGTTAGAATAAAACCAGCTTACCATCGTCATATAATTGGGAAAAATGGTGCTAATAGTGAGTATGAATTTCAGATTTGATTGACATCATATGCACTGAATCTTATACTATTTTTATATTCACTTTTGTAGTATTTAAGCATTTAATCTTATTGCCTTAATTTTTAATATTAAATAGTGACATATGATTTTAGTTTAATTATGTGTTTACTATACCTCATAGTTATGTAAAATTTCTAAGGTCCTTTTTTTAAAGTTAAAATTTTGTAATTTAAAAAATAACTTTCTGTTTTTTATACTTAACAAGCAACTTTAACCCTGATAGGAATTTGTTCCCTACTTTTTGTAATAATTACATTTTCATAATCATGAAGATTTAATATTCATTGGTTATTTTGAAAATTCATTCCTGTATATTAAAATGGCGATGTTTGTGGATTGTACAGCATAGCATTCTGCATTCCTGTGGTGTTTTCCACTTCAACATATGCCCAAGAACATGTTCTACATTTTCTGGGATCAGGGGAAATATGTTTAATAGTCAGTCATGTTCAAATTAAAGGACTCACAAAAGTCAGCAAAGGCCTGGTTTGAGGCTGTGTTTCACACTTGGACAATTTCCCGAGTATAAAACTGAAATTGAAGGAAATGGAGCGAGTTTTTTCTCATAATCAGATACTGTAATCAATCATTTTCTTTCGTATTTAATAACTGAACTCGATTTAATAGGAACAGTTGTAACAGTGTAATATATATCTGTAATAAAAGTAAAGAAACCTCATATATCAACCTTCTCTAAAAGTAGACAGTATTTCTGAGGAAATATATAAATAAATATGGATTGAATATCATTGGCAGTCATATTTGCTAAGGCAAGCATCGTCACAAAAGGTCAGAATCTCTTTTTGTGGTTGGTGATTTTCACTGAAGCATGTAAACATCTTTAAAAAAAGAAGCTGAATAGTTTTTCTCCAGCCAATTTTGAAATTTTGTTTTGCATTGCCCTTAAAAAATTGTTCACTTTAAAGATTAATTTTCCTTTATAAAAACTGTACAGGTATAAAGTTATTTTATAATAGTCATTACTCAATATTAAATAAGAATTGATGTAGGTATTTGTATATTAAATATTGTATTTAAGTTATAACAACTATTTTTTAAGACTTGGAATTAATTTAATGAGAATATCATAGATGAGCAAATGTATAAGCATATCATATAAACTTAAATTCATAGTGGAAAGATTTAAAGTATAATATAGTCGAGAATAACAAAATTTGTTTTCAGTTTAACCTTTTTAGAAAACCAGAAATTTATTATAAATTCGTTTAAAAAAATGTTAAATGTATAAATTTTTAAAGTATTATCCATCCTGATCTTAATCTTTAAATACTGCTTGTTCTTGTAATGATGCATGTTGGCATGTAAATACTTTTTTAGATATTAATCTCTAAAAGCATTTTTGGACATAATGTTTCATGCTATTGTGTAATGTCTCTTATTTTATTTAACATGATAAACATTTTTAATTCAGTGTTACAAATTTGTTTTATTTTTAAAAGAATAATTCTTTGCTAATCAGGTTAGGAGTTCATACTCAGAAATTTAGTTTATTTGTATTTAATCATATATTTGATTGAAATTGTATGTATTATCAAGCTCTTTTCGGTTTCTTAATTTTATGATAAATAGAATTTCTACATTTTGCCATATCAAATTCGAAAGATGTAAATTCATGAAAGCAGCTTGCATATGTTATGTGTATATAAAACTGAATTATTTATGCATGTGTTTATAAAACTCTTGGATTATTATAATATATTGTATAGCATAGCTGCCAACTCTCCCAGACTGACTGGGTGACTCCTTGATTTTCATCATATCTGATGGTTTTTAATTTTTAGCCTTTACTAAGGAAAATATATTCCAGCAATAAAATTGGTTGAATGAATGAAAGTTACATTGTATTTTTATTCCTCTACCGTAGTGATTTTAGAATAATTTTTCTTGTTTAAATTTTATTCATCTGTAATTTCAAATTATATTTTTCTTATTACATTTCATTGATTAAAATTGATTGAAAGAATCAAACTTAAATTGTGTTAAATTTTCTTTCCTCTAGTGATTTTTAGAATAATTTTTCTTGTTTAAATTTTATTCATCTGTAATTTCAAATTGTATTTTTGTTATTACATTTCATTGACTTTTTTCATATTAAATTTCATTTTATCCGAGTTGTCTCAATTTATTGCACATGTATAGATTTTTATATGAAGATTCAACCAGTGATTTTGTAGTTATTTTACTGCATTATATGGTACATAACTAACTTTATCCAGCAGAATATAGAGTACAGTAATTATTAATTTTTATTTTCCTCTTATTTAAAAATACTTCAATAAATAAAAGTTTTTCTTTCTTATTCAGGATTTTGTTAGTGTAAAAGTATAAGAAAATTACAAAATAAAATTCAGAGTTACAAAAGAAATAATACTGGTATTTCAAATTTTAGTTAATAGGTTAAAGGAAGAAACAAAAGCACTTATCAACATTCCATCTGATGCTGATAGTGACATCGTACGCATTGAAGGTGATCCAGAAGGAGTTGCTCAAGTTAAAAAAATGCTTCTGGATATGGTAAACAAAATGGTAAGACCTTTGTTTCTTCCTTCTAAAATGATTTAGCCATTGAGTTAAAATAATTTTAAAATAAAATCAGCTTCATAAGAAAAAGTTTTTATCAAGCTTCATAGTGGTGAGAAATTGTCATTTTCTATACTATGCATCAAAATTGCTGAATATAAGTTGTGAATTGTTATATCTATCTATTTATATACAGCAAAACTCCCTATGTCCAAATTAATTGGACAACAACAGTCTAAACATTTTTTAAAAAAAAGTAAGGGGATAGGATAATTATTTTTCCCCCATCCTGTAAACCAAATGTGTACATTCTCTATTAAGTGGGAGGAATTTCTATTGATTGTATTTATTTTAACATTTTATTTACATAAAATAAATATGCAGTGCATGCATTTTTTTTTGGGGGGGGAGTAATTAAACTGTGTGTATTCACTTCTCATGTCTGTTTCAGTTAAAATAAAATGAGCTTTATTTTCAATATACTGATTATAATTGTAAATTTATGTAAATTCATTGTTTTTCCCCCATTGTGAATAAAATTGAACAAAATGCACAACTCTGAAAATGAAAGAACCATTTAAAACAAAATGCACATGTTTATTCAACTAACAGCAAACTATTTTTTGCTGATGTTAAGCAATCAAATTCAGAATAAACTGTGCCGTTAAAATTTTTAACCCTTTTAAAGCATGCTCTTCTGTTAATATTTATAGACTACATATTTAGTGAATATTGTAACCTACTCTGTGCTATATACAGAACTTCTTAAAATTGTATTGTTGTCTGGAAAAGTCTGCAGTTTTTTATGATAAATACAGTGAAGAAGTACAAAAATATAAGAAAATTTCATTGAATCTCACAAGCATCATATTGTTCTACGACCTTTTTCCCATTGCTTCGGCAGCTGAAAAATTCCTTCTTACTTCCTTGTAGGAAGTATTGCAATCACAAAAAATTCTGGGTATCATATTTCAATGAAAATATCCATTTTGACTGCTAGCAAATGCAATTTAACAATGTTTTTGTGCGATATCTATTTGTAAGGACAGAATAAAAGAATCTTTTTTTCCCCAAACGTATTATAAAACTGATTTAAAATGGATTCAAAAGAGATTTTTTCGTGGGGTCTGTATGTATGTGAGTATGTATGTATGTAGTTCACATAACTCAAAAATGAATAGCCTCAGAATGTTGTAATTTTGTATGTGGGGTTGCTAAAACATGTAGATGTGCACCTCTCTTTTTGGTTGCAAATCAGCCTCCCCAAAAGTATATAAATATATGTATATATTCACTCTGTTACTTAGCTTAATGAGCTTAGTTTTTTTATTCTTATATGTTTGTAAATTGTGTATTTTTTGCTTTAAAAAGGAATTATGTTGTTCTTAATTTCCTGTTAAGGTTTTTATGCCTTTAGTTAACCTGCATGTTATAGTTATAAAATAATCAACAATTTAAAGAGTTGTTTAAGTGTGGCTAAGCCTAATTTTTTACCATAGCAACTATATTTGTTTACATTTGAAACAAAACAGTGCCAATCTGAAGAAACTAAGCTTTGCAACAACAAATGTCTTCCTTTAATGTTGCAAATTAAATTATGCTTAATCCATCCTGGAATTACCATTTGAGTTATTAAATTTTCTCATATATTGATTCAGCCGTTCACAACAAATTAAATCGGTTTCTATACCTTCAGTGTTTTTTTCCTGAGTGAAGCCAAAATTAAACTTTCATTTTTGTGCACCAAAAAATCTGTCTTCTTGCCTGCTGGCCAAATTGCTCGTTTTTGCATAGAAACTGTAATTGTAATTGCAAAAAATTTTTTGATTGTTTTAACTGTATTTGGTGTTTTACGTTTTTCTATAACTTTCAATTTTTAATATAGATATTTTTTAATGTAGATATTTTTAGGGTTTAATTTCGAAATTTAGAAGTGCTGGAGCTCCTATGGAAGACCGTCAGCATAAGGGAACAAGAGTAAATAAATAAATAAAATGACTATTAAACTCATTAATAATTTTAAAATCAAATAGTTAATTATTATCAAATTAATAACTATTTAATTAATGTTATGCATTGTTATTTAGTCAATAATTATTATATAATTGATTAAATTATAATTTTATTGCTAAATAAAATTTTTGAGATAAAATTTCTACTGAAATTGTTATTCATTTGCATAAAATAAATGCCACAGTTTTCTTATTTAGGGCTCTAGCTAGAATTATGATTTATTACAAAAACTAAGAAGCACCAGAGCTCGTATCCAGTGGGCTCCGGTCCTATATAAGCTCTGATCGTAATGGGAAAAAATTCTTTTATCATCACAAAAATTAAATAAAGTATAGCTGATGAAAATTCGGATAATGCTTAAAACAGGGCGAAACAGAATGAGGTAGTTAGCGTATGAGTGGGTGGAAACAAAAAATGAGGGGAGTCTTTGAGAGAGAACATTCTCTTTTACCTCAAATCTCTGCTGACATAGTAATTATAGCAATCAAGCGGATGTGTCTCAGGGGTAAAATGAGTCCTAAATCTGACTCCTAAGGATGAATGTAAAGTTGCTGGTTACGGTAGTGGATACTGTGGGAAGATGATGTATAGGACGTGCTTGAGCAGTTTATCTCAGTATTTCACTCTTATTGTGCTTGCTGTCACTTAACCCACATTTAAGAACACAAATTTTCCTTCCTGTGTGGATAACTAACTATAACCATAGAGAACAGTACAGTAGATACGGTGGCATGGCGAGAGATTTACGCATTCCTAAACAAGCTACCCCAAAATTATTGCCTTAAAGGGAAAGGCTTCCGCATTTGAGTGAGGGGACTTTATTTGAACGTCTCTGTTTTCATGTGTTCGTATTTCTAGGCAAATAGGGTATTGCAAGGTCTGCTTATTGTTAAACTAAAATGTTTGAAATTGTGGCTCAGTTTTATAAAAACAAGTACCGAAGCTCGTCTTATTTATAGCTCCGGCGCAATCTAAGTACTGGATATTTTGAATTTATATGTATTTTTGTCTTGTCGTGAAGTGAGAACTGAATTAATTGAATAAGGAATACATCTCTAATGTAATTTGAGGAAATAAATACAAATTAATATTAGCAGAAAATACTGTTTCCAGTCTGGACAGAGGAGAATGTTTACAAGTAGCGCATGCGTGCTGCATCGTCTCTGAAAAACTGTTTCTTTTCTTTCTTTTTCTTTTTTTTTTCTTTTTTTTTTTAAATTCTTTTATACATCATTTTAGATTTATTTTAGTATTTGAATAGAACATGTAGAAATGATTAGATAATTCTTCAGATGATGTAACTTTTTTGCATTCTGAGTGATAAAATGAATGAGATGTAACACAGTTAAATGAACCTACTGCCTGAGTACCACTATGGTAAATAATCATAGTGAATTTTAAAAAGTGCACTTATTTTATTGTAGTTTGTCCTCTTTATGAAGTAGATTCAATTCAATAAGTTTAAATGAAACACAGGAAAAATGCATTTAATATTCAGTACAAGGAAGTCATGGTGTACACATCAGATTTTTTCTAAAAAAAGTCATTAGGTTTATTTGTAAAGGAGTTACCGTGGTGCTATTTCAGAGTCTCCAAAAAAGTAAATTCCAGGCCATTCAGAAAATGTTGGAGTGGATTGTGGAGATAAAAATCTGAGACTGCAAAGTCTAGTAAATATGGAGAGCATCGCAAAATATCCCAGCTGAACTCAGTAAGCCTTTGTGTGATATGCATCAAAGTGTTAGGCAAGCATTGTCATAATGGAATATAATACCTTAACATTTGGTCAATTTTGGTGTTTTGCTTTTGAAACTGCCATTTGGGAACGGAATTTTTCCAAATTTCCTGTCTGATGTAGTGGCAACAATTTATTGTTCCTTTGTAGTCCCACAATACAGAAAGCATTTTGGAATATTTAATTTGTCCGATAGTTCTTTAATTGTATAATGTAGACTTTCAGTAATAGCTTTTTTAAAAAGCCCTTGTTTACACAGGATGGTCTTCCAGAATGGATATGTTCAAGGCTGAAGTTTTTACATTAAAACTTCTCAAATTATCTTCAAACTGTGTTATCCGAAATAGCACTTTGTCCATTTATGTTAGAACTTTTAAATTCCATCCACATTAGTGTAGTGGAAGCTTGACTGCCCGTTGTTGTGTGATAGGAATGAATGTAGACCCAAAGTGCATTAAACCAGCATTCTCTTCTTCAATGTGACTGGCTCATCGACATTCCATCACAGTGTCTGTAATGTACCAGTGCATATAGTTCCATAACTCTGAAGAGTAGCAACAACCTGTCAGTGCTGCTGATTCATATTGATGTAAAATCTTACATGGCTGTTCTCAGGATGTCTTTACTAAGATAAGATGCATTTGCTCGACATGGTCAGTGTTATCTCCCATTTTCTGAAGTGCGAGAAAAGTGTAACTGGTATTCAGGCTGATGTTTATATTAAAGTTTATGTGCAACAGAGTTTCATGTACCAAAAACTCATTTTGCACTATCTCAGGATGACTAAATCTTATGTTTGCATATTCTTTGGATTTTATGTGCACAGCCAGTTAGTGTCGAAGAAGATTTAAATTCCATATCATTTTATGAAACCTGGATACTTGAAAGAAGTGTGTGAGGTAAATATGATAACAGGATTCTGATATTCTGGGTATTTGAAATTCAGTAGATTTCTGGGAGAGAAGTTGTAAATGAAGTAATGTATGATATGCATGTATTTCTGAAAATGAAGGTGTTGTTGTCCATTATTTACCTTTGTAAAGTTTATGGAGAGCTTTTTCATTTCAGTATTCGTTCTTTTCAGTATATGTTGTAATTATATTTTAATCTTTTTATAGGAAAATGAAGTATCGAAGGAACTTATTATTGAGCAGCGCTTTCATCGTAATATTATTGGTGCCAAAGGAGAAGAAATTAAGAAAATTCGGGACAGATTCAATCTTGTATGTTATTTATTTAATGTATGTCCATACACAATATGATTTAAAAAATTAAACATCATTAAATTAAATTTACATTTTATTTAAGGTTAATGTTGCATTTCCTGAGCCTGGTCTAAAGAGTGATAAAGTTGTTATTCGTGGACCAAAACAAGATGTTGATGCCTGCTATAAATACTTGCAACGCTTGCATGAAGAAATGAAGATAAATAATTTCAGTGTAGATGTTCCAATCTATAAGCAAAATCACAAATTTATAATTGGCAAAGGTGGTGCAAATATTAAAAAAGTAAGAATTTTAATTATTTTTATACTAATGAGGTTATAAAATGTATTTCTGAATGCTTGTAGGTTGCATTAACTTCAGACTAGACCTATTTTATTGTTTTACTGTTGAAGGGAAAAAGTTGTTTGAAATTCTGATTGCTTGTTTTAGCATTATGAAACAACCAATTTGTTTTAGGATTATGAAACCACCAATTTGTTTTAGCTTTATGAAATGACCAATGTAAGGTTCCAGTCAGCTAGTAATAGTTATTGTTTATTAATGATGAATGACATATTAGTCGCTGTTTATTGCATACTTGGCAAAGTTTAGTATTTCTTTACTGTTTGGAAATTAATTGTAGTTGAAAATGGGTGTTATTTGCAAAACCTATTTTTTGTAATGTATCATGCATTGTTATGACATAGAGTGGAAACCCACAACTGTCCTTTTTGCAAAAGAAGCCAAAGAGAGCTTGCTGAACAAGATTTCAATTCGCTTGCAACAACAACAACAACAACAAACACACACACACACACCACAAATTGCTCTCTGAGTAAATGAACAGTATTGTGATGATGAAAATTTTGCCATTTTCTCTTACAGGAGAGGCCTCCACCTAAAGAAAGATTACAAGCAAGAGTTTTTGGGTATCATTTCCAAAGAGCAACAGATCAATAAGAAGGAATGAAATTGTGAATAGAAAAATATAGTCTAGGTATCATGTAGGGAGGGCTTCTGAAAAAGGAAAAGTGGTTAAATGGTTGAGCCCTGGATTTTAATCTGGGGAAATGGACTGGCTGTTTGGATGGTTTTGCTGTTTTCCCAGTGTCTAAGTGAATATAAGCCTTTTTCTTGTAGGAAGTCCTCTGCGAAAGCATTCCTTACCTTAGGCAGATAACACTTCTGTTTTACCACATTCTAAAAACTTAATCTAACTTAAAGAAAAACTCTTAACATGTGAAATTAGTTTTGATATCACAGTTGTACTGTGTCAGTGTTGTTATGGTTAATCCCAAATCACTAGTTGACAGTGAGTTAAAAAAAGGCAGGGGAGAAGAATAATCCATATTATAATTTAAAATAGAAATATGTTTAGCAATTTGCTGTTATTTTCAAGAAGTTTAATTTGAAGGATGAATTTATTTGGGTATGTGAATTAAATTGGAGTTCAAGAACATACTTCAGAACAAACAATGGTTTGGTTTTGGTGTATTTGATTATGGAAAAGAACAGGAGGTTATCTGTCTAAGGAAAGATTTTGTCTAAGGAAAGATTTTATTTGCATTTCTTAAATATTTTGAAACGCCGGTGGTGCAGTGGCTAGCGCATCATGCAGCAGCAGCACCACCACCACTACAGGTCTGGGGTTCGATTCCGGGCTGGGAAAGGTCGACTCGCCCTTGCATCCCTTGATTTCCATCACTTGGGTCGTTAAAATGAGTACAGTAGAGTAGAAGTCCAGAAATCTGCAGAGCTTGGGACCAGAGGTGTGGATTTCAGGACAGAAAAGATAAATCATAATATTCAGACTAAAAGTGCAAAATAAATAAGGCGTATTAGATACATTTGATTAAATTATTATATACATTATTGCAATAACTTATTACATGCATTAAATTATTATTACATATATAAATTGATTATATTATTCATTGTATTACTATATGTACACAGCATCAAGGTTTGCCGATTTCGCCTCATGCAAAGATTTCCGCTGTTAGAATCACTGTTGCTGTAAAATTTCAACAGCTTTTCTTTATTTTTCCGTATATCAGACACAATCATGTCGCAATTCCATACGATTCTGCTATAAACCGAAGAGTAGCACTTGCTTCCATCTTTTGCAGAATTTGCACTTGCAACGTGTTTACGTTTTTTAACGTTGCAAGCAGTAAAATCGTGAGTGCGTTTCTTACCTGTAATTGTATTAAAAAGGGCTGAAATTTAAAATATTCTTAATTTATCCACAAACTATCTGGATAAAAAAGAAGGCAGCACCAAATAATCTCGCGAAATAACAAAGCTCAGAAAATACAACAACGTGAATCGTAAACGTGAAAGAAGAGTTGAGTGAATTGTCTGCTTTTTTACCTCAATGCAGATTAGAGGGGGAAAAAACTTTTATCATGATGTCAATAATTTGGTATTTCCTTTGACTCATTAATATTCGGTAATTATGACGTCATTATTCGGTAAGTATTTTTTCTTTGATATTTCGTACTCAATGTTGCGGATTCTGGAACCTATAAACTGAATGTTTATATTTTGAGAGGCAATGCGGATTTCGGGTTGGCGGATTTTTGATATTTGACTGTACCAAGTTCGCTTGGGGACTAAACACTGGAGGTCCTGCGACAAACTGTCCACTTGTTCAGGGCATATGCTTATACACCCCGGGGCCCACGGTCAAGAAAGCAGATTTTCGGGCACTGCAGGCCCTGGCCCATTAGGGCTGTTACGCCACCGAGTTTAGTTTTATATATTTTATTGTAAATCATTAAGAAGGCTTATAGAATTAACTCTTTTAAAGGTTTTGTTTTAATACACACTGTTGTCAGTTGCAATATTTATTCGTAGTTGGCAATTGCTTATAACAAAGATTGATTATTTTTACAACAATTATTATAACAAAGATTATTATAAATTGCTTGATTTACTTTGTGATTACTTATATTAATTATAACAAGTAAGTCTCTTGAATTACGCCAAATTGTTGTTTTTTCTAATCCCCAAAGAAGGTGAAAATACTAAGAGTTTGATCATATGTAGCATAGGTAAAACAAAAATGTTCCACAAATTAACTTGTAGTTGGTGCCTATACACAAACTTCGACCTACGAGAAAACTTGTGGTTGGCAGCAAACTTGTTAAGATGGAGATTCAAAGAAATTTGTATTGAAAAGATGTTGAAGCTATGATGTAGAGATGGTTAATTTTTGAAACATCATAAGGGTGCTATTTTTCACTTGGTAGGTCCTCTTCCTCACCACACATTCAGATTAAAAATTGGAAGTTGTTGCCATGAATAAGGCCAAAAATCATTTATCTTTCTTCCACATTATGAAATTGTATTGCTCATTAGTGTAACTAAATCAGTCATTTAAAAAGTAATTTTATCTGTACTGAATATTGTAATAAGTGTTAGTTAAAAAAAATTAACCTTGTATAATGTGTCAACAGCTAAATTCAGCTCGATTTCATGCATGTATGCTTCAAAAATGTAAGATAAAGATAATGACAAAATTTTAGAGTAAAATGTATATTGCAGTCATCTTATGTATTAATTTTTATTCAAATGATATTGTCTTTTTTAATGTTTTCATATTTATTGTGTTTATTGTTTTATGATCAAAACGAAACCCTGAAACAAATGCTCTAATTTTCAACCTTTTTCTTGAGTTGATTTTTTTTCCTTTAGCACTGAAGACTTATGTTTTGTTAATTGATTGTAGTAGATGGTAATACGAAAATTTTAAATTGCTAGTTTGAAGGGAAAACTTAATTATGATAATGACATTCTCTAAGTTTGTATTGTGAAGGTCATATGAGTCTTTATAGTAAATTCTAAATATCATTTATGAATCTAATTGGTAAAATATGACAAGACTACAATAAAAAAAGATAATTGGAACAGCACCTACTATGTTGAGAGGTAGTAAAAATTTCCTGGAGAAAACAATGTTGCATGTTAGTGAAGGTTAAAGTAAAAATGTGTTGGTATCATCAAAAACTACTACAAATTTATTAAAAACTAGTTCTGAAAAAGTTATAAATATATATTTTGTATAAAATTCTTATAAAAGTTGGCATAAATGGATATGCCAACTTTTATAAGAATTTTATTGTACTTGCATTTACAATTCATGGATTAGTATGTAAATTACAAAATAAAATTTCTCCTATTTGTAAGTCATTAAAATAATTTCAGAATACAGCCTGTAGAATTGTTTGATAATTTTGATGTTATGTATGATTGTCTACTGGAGAGGGAAGCTTTTTATAATTATGAATTTTTAAGCTTTTATTTGTTTCTGCCTAAAATCATTATCTTTATTATTGCTTATTTTCTTTAATTGAAAATGTTATTTAAAATTTCAGATAAGAGATGAAACCAATACTAGAATTGATCTTCCTTCAGAAGGCACTGAATCTGATGTTATCACTATCAGAGGTAAAAAAGAGGATGTGCTGTTGGCTAAGGAAAAAATTTTAGCTATTCAAGAAGAATTGGTATGTTAATTAGAAGCATATTTGAATCATATAGATTGTTGTCCTGATTTATTTGTTTTTATTTTTTTTCTTTTTAGTCCCAAATGTGCTGAAATTTGTTTGATTTGAAAATTTTACGACTGATTTCCCCCTTTTTTTGTTGTCTTAAAATTACAAGGATTGCCTTTTTTTTAAGTAACATTTTTTATACTGAATTAATATTTTATAGTGTTTGAATCATGAATAGACTTGAAATAGACTGTTTTGTATATTCTCTTTACTTCTGCTATTATAGCATTTTTCATTACTTGTAAAAAAAAAAAATCTGTCTTTGCTTTTGTACAGCAGTCATTTTAGTGTTGGGAATGGCCAGAATGGTACTAAGTGCGAGTTATATGGAGGTTGTTCTTGCTAGTCTGGAAATTGCATTTGTGGCTGACATTACACAGTATGAATACTGAGGTAGAGCATGAACCATTGTGTCTTGAATAAATCCGGTTCATGGCTCTTTACAAATGGGTTTTTATGTTATCGTTTCCTATTTGAGCATGGAAAACCAAGTTCACGTTGAAGAAAATAGAAATAAGACTTCATCCAGTGAGGATCTCTAAAATATGTCCAATGTTCAAATATTGAAGTGTGTTTAAATGTTTCAGCACCTATAATATTTCTATACTACTATTTAAAAATTGTGGTTTAAAATTTATTTACTCATCTGTGCTGTATTTTTGCAACTATATTTCTATGACAAAATGTACTCTATGTGCTTCCAGTCACTGAGCAAATACAAAAAGTGATACTTTTACAGCTGTAAGTTCTGACTAATTGGTGCATGATCCCAAAGCCCAGTGCAGGTTTGCCACATCTAATGCTGGCAGAAAAAAGTAGAGGCAATCATAACTTTATAATCAGGCTTCGTAATTAAATGGAAAGCTTTTAGTTTCTCTTTTAAGTCAACCTTATTTATGCTTTTTTGCTGCATAATAAATGAAAAAAATAATTTAATTAGCATAGTTCCAAATGTTTTCATTTTTTGGAACTCTGCGGATCTGTAACAGCAGACTGGTAGTTTTATAGTCTAAAGTTATTTCTTTATACTTGTTTTGCTTTCTGTGTAAAGAAATTTTAAGAATATGCTTCTGAAGAGCATAATCAAAATGTAAATATGAATACAAATATAGATTAATAGCTGATTTTGATAAAAGAATAAATAACGGTGGTTAGAAGAATGAAGTGTAGTGCATGACACACATGTACCCCCCAAATCGCAAATTTACGGTAATGTGAAGTAAACATAATTCATTCTAATTTATGATATAAATTAGTTCGAACTGGTAGTTTTATAGTCTAAAGTTATTTCTTTATCCTTGTTTTGCTTTCTGTGTAAAGAAATTTTAAGAATATGCTTCTGAAGAGCATAATCAAAACATAAATATGAATACAAATGTAGATTAATAGCTGATTTTGATAAAAGAATAAATAACAGTGGTTAGAAGAATGAAATGTAGAGCATGGCACACATGCCCCCCCAGCCAAAATCGCATATTTACAATAATGTGAAGTAATCGTAATTCATCTTAATTTCTAATATAAATTAGTTCTTTTTTCCCTTTAAATTGGCTTTTTTACGTATACAGTCAAGTCTTCAATCCGGACTCGTCGGGACTTCGGTGATTCCGGATTATCGATTTTTCTGGATTATAGATCATCAGTTTAAATCTGGTAAGATAGCATGCAGAAATTATAAAATTAAAAATATGAAACCGTAATTTGTGAAATAAAGAGCAATTATAATCTAAAGGGTATCAAAATTTACAAAAAAAGAAGCTTAATATTTATTTATTTATTTACTTTATTAAACATTTCTTTCAACGCGCGCATGCGTACCTTACGCATAGCCGAAATTAGAAAATTGCAACCAGAAAACTATTTGATTTGTATTCGTGATATTTATAATGACGAGGAATTTAATTTAAATCATATCAAAGACGGAGTACATCGAGATTAAATACTACATTTAGTAAGGAATTATATGCCGAATAAAATAAAAACATCTTCTGCCCTGAAGATAACGATAGTGTTGACAGATCAACTTCCAGTTCATTGCGCGCCGCGACCCCCTTCCCCCCCGCGCAGAGCAGCGTGAAATTGATAAACAGATTTCGGAACGGTTAGATAAACAAAGGATATACCTTTATCCATTTTTGTAGCAATTCGTTTTTTGTTTGATGGACATCGAATCATACTTTCGTTTTCTAGATCCTTTGGGAGCTCCAGCATCAGAAATTCTATTTGACATAATCGAAAGTTCAAGCTTACTTTTATAAAATTGCTCTTACAGTCTGCAAAAAATAATAAGCCGGATCCAATTTGAAGAATAAGGAACAACGCAATCATCAACATTAACTGAAATAGATAATTAGATTATTTTAGCTTATACCGTCCGTTATACATTAAATGGCACGCAAAAACGTATTCTGCGCTTGCACAGACGCACGCATATGTGCAGTCGTAAATGTCTTGCGCGCATGCGTAAAACGTCTGATGCTAAAGCAAAGTTTAAAGTTTAAAGAAATTAAACATTTAGCAGTGGTAGCAATGATAGCTCCCTGAGTTATGTTGTGCAGACATTGAAGACAATAAAAGATTTTGAACTTAACGAATTTATTAACAATATAATAAAAAAATAAAAACACATAAAATAAATTTCAACAATATTAGAGTATTAGGCAAAACATAACATAATCATCATTCATCAAATATTTTTACCTGTACTCCAAAACACTGGCATTCTATACAAACAAATTTCAAAAAAAAAAAAAAAATGAAAAAGTCCTAAATAGTGACTATGCCGCCTAAAAATAAAGCAGGCTACCCATTCCATAAGTCATAATCAATGGTCAAGAAAACACCTGAAAAATTTAAATGTGAAACCACTTAAAAACCGGCCTAACGCCGTTTGCATTTAATTCCATCCTCCTTGAAGAAACATAGATGCTGCCTACGGTAGTCACTCACAGGACAGCCCCCGGAACTGAAGAACTTCAATCTGGAACCATTATCTTGTAAACCGGAATCAAGGCATCCTTTGGAAGGGGCTGGAAACCGCTCACACACCAGCCGGTAAACCAGGAACTAGAAGCAGGTTGAGCCAGAGCGACGCGAGATACTTATAGCAGAAGTAGGAATGACGTCATCTCACGGCAACCAATCAGCTATCGGCACGAATCGGCTTTTCAGATGACGTAACATTGTTTCATTTTTGCATCTCAATTAGGTTGAGACAGTCCGTTTTCAATGCAAACAGTGGCAGCAAGAAAAAGAAGTAGAAGTAACTACTATGTTTTATTAAAAATAAAGACTAAACTAAATAAACATTTCAAGGAGGAGAGATGATGCAGTAAAAGGTTTAAAAATAAGCTATATTTTCCAACAAATGCCCCCCACATCATCATCTCTGACCTGAAATAAAAACCAAATGCCAGTATCTTTACAAAAATTCAAAAACAAGAATAAATAAATATCACAATTTCATTCAGAAATTTTTAAGAACATTTTTCTTTGGGAAAAACTTATCCCATTATTCAAAATTTTACCGTAGCAAGAAAGTCCAACATGTTACAAAACAATACAAAGTCATATATATGATCATACGCTCAATACGTTTACCCAGGGCCCTGGTCACTCATACAACATTTTACACTATACAATTTTTACATTTACCTAATATCCATCATATATGACTTAGAACATATTTTTCAAATTAACAAAACTCTTAATTTAAATACACACAAAAACAAATTTCATAAGAAAATTGTTCCACAAAATTTTACCAGATTATGCTTAGTCAGCGGTTTTGTCATGGGATCAGCCAGATTATCTTTACTTGGGACATATTTTAAATCAAAAATTTCCCTGTTCAATAGATCACGAATGAAAATTGTTTCACATCTATATGTTTTGTCCTCGAGTTTTCAATGGGTGATTTTGTAAAACATATAGCAGCCATGTTATCAGCAAACAAATATTGGCCTCGAAACATAGTTACTTGCAATTTTAAACTGAATGCATTCATCCAAAATGTTTTTAAACCAAACTAATTCTTTTGCTGATTCAGTCATGGAGATAAATTCAGCCTCCATAGTAGATAAACTCACTCCCCTTTCTTTAAACGTACGCCAAGATACAGGTGATTCTCCTAACAAAGCTACTTGTCCACCAATAGACACCATATCATCCCTGCTTGAAGCAAAATCCGAATCTGAATATATATTGAGCTTCAGTTCCTTGCATACCAGCTTGAGTTTGTGCTGTCTGGTATTGGAAACGTACCCTAAAAGTTTAAGTAATCCTTCCCAGTGAAACTTACCAGGATTGCTTTGGAACTGAGAAAATATATTAACAGCATAAGCTATATCCGGACGAGTACGATTGCAAAGAAACGATAGACATCCCAAAACATTTCTATAAGGATAATTCATCATTTCAGTCGTTTCTCTTGTGTACTGGGACTTTGAGACTTTGAGTATTTCACACCTTTAACTATTGGAAGGGAAGTAATTTGTATTTTAAAAAGACTTAAATCGATTAACTATGTCTTCTATATATAATTGCTGATGAATTAAAACACTATTTTTCTCATATTCAAATTCCACACCCAGAAGCTTTCTTGTTTACCTAAAATTTTCAAATCAAAATGTGAACTCAGGACTTTTAATATCCTTTTGGCCTGAACTTCACTTTTCCCAAACACAACTATATCATCAACATAAACCAACAGAATGACAAAATCTTTAAAACGATAGACACAATTACACCACTCAAACTTAATGAACCCTAGGTTACATAGTGTTCTATCCAACTCGTAGTACCATAATCGGCCACTCTGATGCAAACCATACAAGGCTCTATCTAATCGACACACAAAAGTTTCTTTATCTCGCTCCACAAAACCCTGAGGTTGGGACATGTAAATTTCCTCTGATAAAGGAGCGTAAAGATAGGCACTTTTCACGTCACATTGTATATTTGCCCATCCTAGGTGTGCAACTAAAAGGGAGAAAAAGAGCTTTATTACTGAAAAGTTGACTACAGGAGAGTAGGTTTCATCATAGGTATCGTATTTAATTTGCCGATAACCCTGAGCCACTAAACGAGCTTTAAAACGAACAATGTTTCCAAAAACCCTGAGGTTGGGACATGTAAATTTCCTCTGATAAAGGAGCGTAAAGATAGGCACTTTTCACGTCACATTGTATATTTGCCCATCCTAGGTGTGCAACTAAAAGGGAGAAAAAGAGCCTTATTACTGAAAAGTTGACTACAGGAGAGTAGGTTTCATCATAGGTATCGTATTTAATTTGCCGATAACCCTGAGCCACTAAACGAGCTTTAAAACGAACAATGTTTCCAAATTCGTCACGTTTAATGTTAAAAATCCACCTGCAACCTAGTGGAGTCTTGTCTTTAGGAAGTGGAACCAGATGCCATACCTTATGCTTTCGCATGTTGGCCATTTCCTCTTCCATTGCCTCTATCCATTTAAGCTTTTCTGCAGATTTCATTGCCTGGTTATAAGTGTTTGGAATTGAAACATCTAGTCAGCTATCTCGGGTATACGACGTTGAAGGAGTACCAGTTGGGTCGATTTCACCACTATAAGTATTGCTTCCCTTGAAATCAAACAAGGTAGGATCATACTGAATATTATGTTCAGTGCAATACCTTTCTACATCATTTGGTGATCGTAGTCTTTGATTACACCCCCTCTCAAAATAATACACATCCGTACGAGTGCCGTCTGGCCTTGGAACAGGTTTACGAAGCCAAGTTACTTGTCTCAATGTAGATTGAGTGTCAGTGCCAATTGTAGAAGAAGGTACATTGGTATCGGTTCTTTCCTCTATTTCAGGAAAATAGCCAACTGGAGTGTTAGTAGATTGGAACTCTACCCTTTCTTCAGATTCCACATCAGGTAGGGTGCCCAGTGCAGCTCCACTGCCACTTTTCTGCATTCCAATCGACTCTTTAAAAGTAGCATTTAGGATTTCCACTACCTTTTGTTCATTTTCCAACCAAATTTTTGTACCCTTTTGTTCGTACACTGTACCCAATTAATCGGCCCTTTGTTGCCTTTGGATCAAGTTTAGAATTTCTTTTAGCCTTTGGAATTCCCACATAGGCAATCGTTCCAAATGCCTTAAGATGACGTACTGATGGTTTCCGCTTAGTGTATAATTCGAATGGGGTTCTATCTTGGCCCTTATGACAAATTCTATTAAATGAATATGCAATACATTATTACTGCATCTGACCAAAATTCAGAACTCATTCCACTATCGTGTAAGATTGCACGTACATTATTGAGAGCTGTTTGATTAAATCTCTCACAAACTCCATTCTGTTCTGGAGTGTAGACATCTGTAAATTCGTGCTTTACACCATTTTTATTACAATATGACCTGAATTGATCATTATCATATTCTCGCCCATTGTCAGTCCTAAAGTATTTCAACTTAAGGTTCAAAGATCTTTCTGCACGTGCTATATGCCTTTCAAATACTTCAAACACCTGACTTTTCTCCACAATGGGGTACACTACCACATAACGAGAATATTCGTCAATAAAGGAAACGAAATAACGTTCACCATTCCTACCTGGAATGTTAATAGGTCCCCATACATCAAAGAAAACCCTTTCAAGCGGTCTCTTTACTTGAATACCTTCTAAAGGTCTATAGGAGATTCGTCTTTGCTTATTGATTTGGCAATGTTCACAAAACAAATTAGGTGAGTGCTTTAACACAGGAAGACCTCGAACCGAATGTCTCTTACTAGTCCTGACAATAGTATCATAATTTATATGACCAAACCGACCATGCCATAATTCACTATTATTATTCTGAACTGCGGATGCCTCAAATTTTACAGATTTGCCCCCCTTTTTGATTATTTTCGGGAACACATGATAGTTACTTCCTATCAACTTAGCCTTGTACAAAGTTGAATTCTCATCATCAGTAACTTTAATTTGCCCATTTTTACCATAAAATCTTGCTCCATTGATATCCACCCTAGGTCCAGATATTAAATTTCGTCTTAGTTCAGGTGAATATAAGCACATCTTTAAGCAAAATAACCGTATCCCCAAATTTCATTTTAACAGTACCCTTCCCATGAATTGGAAAAGTTACCCCATCAATAGCTACTAGCATATTCTCATTTTTCACAGGAGAAAAAGTATCAAACAATTCACGATTTTTACAAAAATGATGAGATGCAGCCGTATCAAAGATCCAACTATCATCATTTTCTTCCAAATTGTTAACATTGGCTTGAGCTATAAAATGGGACTGTGCATGGGAATTATTACTTTTACTCAACTTGGGTTTATTCTTACACTTAGAAGATGTTTAATTACTACTAGATACAGCTGAGGAAACAGAAGAAGCAGGTGAGGGTGATCTGGAAAAATTACCTCTCATTCTACAGTATTTTTGAATATGACCTGGACGGCCACATTTATAACACTTGAGCCCTTTAATCTGCTTAAATTTGGGTTCACAGTGAGTACTTTGAACTTCTATAGTCTTATTGGAGTTTTCCCTATCCATCTCTCTTAAATTAAGATGCGTTTGTTTCCTCTTCTAAAATTTCAAGTTCAACATTTTTAAAAATGAACTTTTCATCTGGCCACCTCAAAATATTCTGAACTACTTGATCAAATTTATCTGGAAGAAACCTAAGAAACTGGAAACATATATATAAGTCTCTTACAGCCTGATTAATATCAGCTAACTGTTCAGTTACTCGTTTTAATCTAGAAGAAAAACTAATACTTTCATTTGGCTTGATTTTGCAATTCAAGAACTCTGAAAACAGGGACATATGTGACCTATAATCTGGCTGGAAATATTTGGCAAGCGTATTCCATGCCACTACTGGGTCATCAATTTCACATATCAAGTTTCTATATTCAGGGCTTACATTCATATAAATTAACGATAATGCCAATCGACTTCTATTTTGAAAGTCGGCAATAATTTCTTTTGCGATACCCTTAACATCATCTAAATCAGGACTTTTCTCAACACCTTTGACCAAAAGCCATGCATTTTTTTCATTCAAGACAAACTTCATATCTTTGGACCATGTAAAATAATTACATGCATCAAGTTTAGCAATATTATGCATGACACTAACAGTAGCCATATTTGAATTTTAACAAAAACCGCCCCCCAATCTCTTAAGTCCTAAATTAACTTTAAACTTCAAAAGTCTGCACTAAAAATAACTCAGGAGCTGCTGGGCCCATAACCAAAATGATGCTAAAGCAAAGTTTAAAGTTTAAAGAAATTAAACATTTAGCAGTGGTAGCAATGATAGCTCCCTGAGTTATGTTGTGCAGACATTGAAAACAATAAAAGATTTTGAACTTAACAAATTTATTAACAATATAATAAAAAAATAAAAACACATAAAATAAATTTCAACAATATTAGAGTATTAGGCAAAACATAACATAATCATCATTCATCAAATATTTTTACCTGTACTCCAAAACACTGGCATTCTATACAAACAAATTTAAAAAAAAAATGAAAAAGTCCTAAATAGTGACTATGCCGCCTAAAAATAAAGCAGGCTACCCATTCCATAAGTCCATAATCAATGGTCAAGAAAACACCTGAAAAATTTAAATGTGAAACCACTTAAAAACCGGCCTAACGCCGTTTGCACTTAATTCCACCCTCCTTGAAGAAACATAGACACTGCCTACGGTAGTCACTCACAGGACAGCCCCCTGAACTGAAGAACTTCAATCTGGAACCATTATCTTGTAAACCGGAATCAAGGCATCCTTTGAAAGGGGCTGGAAACCGCTCACACACCAGCCGGTAAACCAGGAACTAGAAGCAGGTTGAGCCAGAGCGACGCGAGATACTTATAGCAGAAGTAGGAATGACGTCATCTCACGGCAACCAATCAGCTATCGGCACGAATCGGCTTTTCAGATGACGTAACATTGTTTCGTTTTTGCATCTCAATTAGGTTGAGACAGTCCGTTTTGAATGCAAACAGTGGCAGCAAGAAAAAGAAGTAGAAGTAACTACTATGTTATATTAAAAATAAAGACTAAACTAAATAAACATTTCAAGGAGGAGAGATGATGCAGTAAAAGGTTTAAAAATAAGCTATATTTTCCAACAACGTCTATAAGCATGCGTCAACGCGGCGCATGCGCAGAAAGATTTTAGCTTTGAGGTCCGGATTATAGATCATTCCGGATTATGGGTGTCCGAATTTGTTTAAATTTTATTTAGTTAATGTATTTATTTTTACAGTAAATATATTTTTGTATATTCCTTTCATAATAATTGAGTTATATTTCAAGCATTTGAAATGTGTGGCATGGATTTTTTAAATATAGCCACTCAAATTAGTATTTTCTAATCGGTATTATTTTACAGAAATCAAGAAATGGCTAAGTGATAAATTATCTGCATTGATTTCACTCTGTTAACTATTTTTTAATGTAATTTCTAAGCCTTAATGACATTCATATTCCGATTTTTTTTTACAGGATAATGTAGTTACGCAAGAAATAATGATCCCAGCCAAGCTGCATAATTCTATTATTGGTACAAAAGGTAGATTGATCCGATCTATTACAGAAGAATGTGGTGGAGTAACCATTAAATTTCCTACTGGTGGTACAGGTAGTGATAAAGTATCAATTCGTGGTCCCAAAGAGGATGTACAGAAAGCCAAAAAACTTCTTTCAGAGCTGAAAAATGAAAAACAACTGACAAGTTACACTGCTGATGTCAAAGCAAGACCAGAACAGCATAAATTTTTGATTGGGAAGAATGGTGCAAATATTAAAAAAGTAAACCTAATTTTATGCATTATTACCCATCGATCACTAGATAGTTTATTGCATGTAAATACCTAGTAATGTATGTAATTAAATACGATTTATGTTTAGAAGATTAATAATTCTGAGAACTACTTAATGAGTCTCTTATTCTTATCTTCTAAGTCGATATGTGTGGGAGTCTATATGTATATTTTAAAATGTAATTTAAAAAAAGCAAGCCTAATTAGAGCAGTTACTAAAATTTAAAAAACAAAATGCTAAAAAATAGAATATTTTTTAATCTGTGCATTTTTCTAGTGTTTTGTCTTAAAGTATTGGAAAAATGCATGTATTAAAGTTTTCAAAAGAATATATAAATATTTAAGTTATGTACAAAGTGTTCTTGCTTAAAATCATCTGTGCTTTCAAAATAACACTTCAGTTCTCCCCCTTTAAGAAATGCACTATGAAATACCAGTATTATTAAATTAGTTTTCCTTACTATAATATGAGTGCATATGTTGTATAAAACATCGGCATTTTTTTATTTGTTAATGTACGTTGGGGATTGTTTTTGATAATTGTTTACGAGTTTGTTACATTTTTTAATAATTTGGTTATTCTGAACTTTTGTTAGGTTCGTGAAAAAACTGGAGCAAGAATTGTTTTTCCAAATGAAAATGATGAAGACAGAGATACTATTACCATCATTGGTCGCAAAGAGGAAGTTGAAGCTGCAAAGAAGGAATTAATGGACATGATTTCTGATTTGGTAAAGAATTTTTTTCCATACTAGTTCTCTCTTCCGAGCAGAAAAGCTTGTATTTTAAATGTTTCAAACCTAAATTTTTAAAGCAACCATTAAAAAAGAAATAATTAAATGCTTTTGATTTATTGTTCCATTTTACTTTTCCCTCTCTCCCAAATCCAGTGGCCAGGCACTTAGCTTATTGAACATTGTATTGTGTGACAATTAAATACATTATGGGCTTAGAGGCACAAGAAAAGCACTTAAATGCTTGATAAACTGTTATCATGCAAACAAACTAAATGAATAGTAATGCTGTAATCATGTTTTTTTAACCACTTGCGCTAAAAAGACGTGCCACGCACGTCGAGATGCTTTTTTCTCAAACCGCGTGCAAAAATGAAAACGTGGTGCACACATCGCCTAACAAAGAGATTGTTTATTTCGAGTTACAGCTCAGAATTGCACTCGCCAGACGCGGAGTGGCGTAAATGAGACATTTTGCCGCTTGTTATATTGTAGCGCACGGCACTGCAACCATGAAGTTTAGTCATAGTGCAAGTGGTTAACTGTAAGCATATTGTAAAGTAGTTAGAAATTTAATATAAAAGTTGAACCATCTAGTGTTAAACAGTTCATTCTTACTTTAGCCTTAATATACCATTTAGAATATTTTCTACAAATTGTGTAAAAAGTGCGAAAGACAAAGAAACCAGTGTATGGAATTTTTCAGAGATACAGGAAGAATTTATTTTCCTGAGATTACCATATATATCAGGGCTGGCCAAACTTCATTTCGGTAAGAGCCGTCTGTTTGAATTTAGGAATGTTCAAGAGCCGCATCTAGATTTTCTAAAAGCCACAAGTTCATATTTATATCATTATACAAGTAGTGGAGGAGGTTTTAAATAGAAAGAAATCCTTGATAACTAATATAAAATCCTTGATAATAATAAAAGTCTAAACTAATTAATTACTTCCTTTTGGACACTGAATAGTTTGTTTACCATATTTCATACATATATTTTATGTGTATGAGCTGCACAAATTGCCTGCGAGAGCCATATAAGGCTCGGGAGCCGCACTTCGGCCATCCCTGATATATATCATTGTCTTTAGTAAGTATTGTCTCTGTATGAAACAAATTTAATATTGCGTGTTCATGCTGATGCATGTCCAATTCTCAGACTAAAGCATTCAGCAAATAAGATTTTAAATTTAGCTGCCTAAAAATCGGAGTAGTTTAAAGCAAATGAAACCCTTAGTAACAAAAATTTTTATTTTTTTAATTATCTAAATAATACTTGTTGAGAGAGGCAATTTGAAATGTATTTAATGATCAATAGATTTTTTTGTGAACATCAGCAGCTTTGGCAGATACAAGATTTAGCAGTTCTTTCATCCCAAATGTGTATGGTATCTGTCGGTTGTAAATTTGTATTGCGAGTTGGTTTATTTGCACCCACTGCAGTGTGCAACTGGAATTCAAGCTGAGTTCATTCACAATCATCAAAAGTTTAAATAGGCTAAGGTTCATTGGTCCCTGAATAAAATTGTTTGGTTTTTATATATTTCTGTGTCTAATCTTACATTAGAAATAAAGTAGGAATTTTTCATTATTTAAATTTTATTAATAAATTTAATGTAAAAGAATTCTAAAGTGTTTCAGAACTGTAAACTATTGAATACTTAGCACAATAGATAAGTTACATTTCTTTTGCTCTCAGTTAGCCATAGTATGAGGTATTTTATTTTTATGAACTTATAAGATCAGCTGATTGATATAATACTTTTGTATTAGCATTGAAAAAAAATTTTAGGTTTAATGTAATTATATAAATTTTATTTTAATATTTATTAATTTTTGTATTAATATCTCTTTGTTTTTCCCCGTTTAAAGAATTGTAGAATTATTAAAAATTATCAGAGTTATTGCTGCTAAAATATTCCATATCATTAATATTTAAATAAAGAAATAATGTTTTAACATTATAGGAAAAGACTGATCAGATAACTGTAGAAGTGGATCCAAAACATCATCGACATTTTGTTGCAAGACGGGGTGAAGTGCTGAAACAAATTGGTGATGAGTTTGGTGGAGTGACTGTCAGTTTTCCTAAAAATGGAAGTAATATTAGCACTGTGTGCTTGAAAGGTGCAAAAGATTTCCTTGAAGGGGCCAAACAACGTTTACTTGAAATAGTTGAAGATTTAGTAAGTTTATTTTTAAGACATAATTATAAATATCTATTCCTTTCACAGACTTCTGAAATTTTTAAAGTATTGTGTCATGATATATATAAAGTAAAACCAATTTGAGCATTTGGTTGTTTATTCTGAATATTTTTTACACATGCTAGTGTACTAGTTTGGTGATGTTCTAGACCAAAGATTAAATTTCCAGTTTATATAAAATTGATTTTTGTAAATTGTGCTTTTATGCATATAAAAATTATACTTAAGCACTAAAGCATCAGCAAAATGAATAGTATTTCTTCCTGTTACTATATGCTTTTTTATTAATATTTGTTTATCCAAATAATATGAATGGCATTTTTATGTCCCTGAGCATAGTTAACAGTGTACAGTGAAACTGCACACTGTTAACTTATTTTTCTTTATCAGTTTTATAAAGTATAAACACAATGTAAATTAAGACATGTGAGGAATTTTTAAAAGCTCAGTGTTTTTAAAAATTAAATTTTTTGTCTTCCTTCTGATAAAAATATCTTAGTATTTATATTAAACTGATATGGAAGTTTGTAATTAGACTTCCCTTGCCTTTTGCTCATGTAGCTGATTCTTACAAGTAAGCTTTGAGTACAGCTAGCTTTTTGTTATGTTGGTCATGACGGTATAGTGGTTTGGGAAGCCTGACAGCGATACCGAAGGGCCTGGGTTCGATTCCCAGAGAAGGCATGGCTGTAACTGCCCATCCCTTCATAGGAGACGATGGTGGCCCACCTATTAGGTGCCTCCATAATAAAGAGACCACCACATCTGGCCTTGTATAGATTAAGGAACTGTGTTACACTGTAATTATTTACCATCTGTCATTGGGGGGGGGCAAGTTGGGCATGAATGCCTTCAAAGCAAGGTCATTTCTCCTTTATAGCATTTGCAGTTTTGGAGAGAATTACGTATATGGTGCTTTTGTAATTTTCATAGAAGAGACTTTTGTCCTTTTAATTTTTGTGGGTAAACTCATAATTTGAATTTGAAAACTCATAATTTGAAAACTGTTGATTGTTACTTTTTGTTTTTCCAAAGGTCTCTTAAAATGTCTAAGATTTTCTTTTTTAAATAAAGTACATAGCAGAAACATAGGTTTTGGGTTTCCTCAGCCTATTTTCCCTAAAGCTTTAGCTATATCAAGGTTACAAAGTACTGCAGTGTGAAGTTTCTAGATATCTAGAATGAGCTTGCATAAATAGAAGTGTTGTAATTATTTTGATAGATTTTTTATCTCAGACATTCTAATTTCCATATCTGTCTATTAAATTAATATTAATGTACATCATTTTATCAGTATTTTCTTGTATTTCTTTTTATTGTTTGTGATATGTTTTAATCACTATACAATTTGTGTTGCTTTATTAAATATTATAATTAAAGTTTTTTTGATAAAGGATGCCATGGAAACTATTGAATGTGTTATTCCACAAGAACATCATCGTACTGTGCTGGGAACACGAGGATCTAAAGTGCAGAATATTGAACGTCAGTTCAATGTGAACATTAAATTCCCTGACAGAGAAAAACCTGGAGGTACAAAGAAGTTTTTTTCCATAAATTTCTAAACCTTTCTTTAAACTAAAATAAAATAAGATAAAAGTGAAATATTGCCTACCAAATGAGTTTTAAATAGCTGAGTCTGAAGAATGTGTTTCTAAAGTATGAAATATGGGAAAAATATTTCTATAATTAATAATTACACATTTAAGTCCATATGGAGTGTAAATTATGTAAATGCTTTATTGTGAGATTTAGATATTAGCCATGGAAATTGTTTATAAGTGGGCATTTTACTAAATGTTTAAATTAGAAATTCATTCTAAAATTTCTATCAGATTTTTTCTCTTATTTTTGTATTTTTAATCTACCTCCCATTTTGCAAATTGTTTAAAATCTGAGCCAATTTTCAGCAATCTGTCATTTCTGTCTTATCAGTGACAGTTTTATACTGTGAAATAGTATGTAATGTTAATTTTCTTTTTTGATTAGAAAGCGAAAAAATTACTATGAATGGGGAATGCCATAGTGATGAAAACGAAACTGATAAAAATCAGAAGAATATTATTTTAATTAAAGGAAGACCAGAAAACTGTGAAGCTGCAAAACAAGCCTTATTGGTATGTTAATATTGGTTTTAAAGAAAATTTACTTCCCTTACTACTAAAAATTTACTACTAAAATTTTTCATTAGCCCTTTGATTTAGAAAATTATGATTTTTTCTTCAATTTTTATTATTCTAAAGTTATCATTCATAAAACGATTTGAAACCAACAGTTTTATTTCTTAATTTTATAAGGATCTTGTGCCAGTTACTGAAGAAATGGAAGTGCCATATGATTTGCATCGTTTTATAATTGGACAGAAAGGCAAAGATGTTCGAAATATGATGGAAATGTATGATGTTAACATCATTATTCCACCCCAGAATGAACATTCAGATGTCATAACAATTAAGGGTCCGCAAGCAAATGTTGATAAAACAAAAGCAGCACTTAAAGAACGAATAGAGCAACTGGAGTTGGAAAAACAGGATAGAGTAAGTTTGCATTGTATTTGAAGCTATAAGTTAGATACTTATAAATTTGCATAACTGTTTTCATTCCTTAGAATTCTTGTGCATGTTGAGGTATAATAGTTTTAAGATGCTTAGAATAGTAGTTTAAAGATCTTATGTCAATATCTGGTGTAATAAGTCCTGAAATTTTTGTTACTTTAGAATTAGAATTTGTTTCTTGGGAATCCCATTTCCTTTCTGCATTGATCTGCAGTTTTATCATCGTGATTTTATGACAAATCTGCTGTAATATATCTTACAGTTTGGCCATTTGCAGTTAGCCTGCTAAAATGTTTTTTAAAATAATAAATGCTATTAGATAATTGATTTGAAGCAGAGATATTGTAAAAACAGGGATATGATTACACTGGGCAACAAATTTGAATTTTTGTATCGCTACCTTTGATATAAAATACTGTTTTGATGCTAAATATGAGAACAATATTGAAATTCAAAAGTTAGTAATGGTTTTTATTAATTTCTTAAATACATTTTTTAAGCACGTATAATTTGTAACAATTATTTGAAGGTGCTTTTCAAACACTAAATATGTCTTTGTTTTGCTAATCAGCGATTACATCTGGAACATCTCTAACAAATATCCAGCAATAATCAGCAAGCATGAAAGGGCTCCATTTTCCTTGATATCTTTTTTCCATCTCTGCAGTTCTGATGAAAGCCTTCACCATAGTTATCTGGGAGGAAAATATAGTTGGGAATCAAGGAAATGTATTTTCAAAGACATGTTGCAACCTAGTTTCTTACATAATAGTCAGTTTCTTTACGGGTTCATTCTAGTTTTCAGATCCTAGAAATTTCCTAGTTCATTTCCTAGAAAGTTAATAGCTACTTCTCGAAAATTTATGCAAGCATTGTTCTTGTCACCTTAAGATATTTTAAAAACATTTGCTCCTTGAAGAGGTTTCAGATTTGAGGCCCAGCAAAAATGCCTTTCTTTAGTTTTATTCCTGAAATTTCCCTCAAAGGTACCGAAATGCCTAGCCACTTTTATCCACCGCTTTCACAAAATTTTTCATTAGCTCTAATTTTATGTATAGTGGCAGTAGTAATACCTTCATTGGGTCAATCAATGGCACATGTTACACATTCTTTTTTCCTTGTTACGAAGACTGTCTAGTAGGACATTCTTTCTTTTAAAATGATCTGCCCTTGCTCAATTATCCCATTCACACGCAAAAACAGCATAATAACCAATCTCCATTCTTCTGGCTTCTGATTCATATCGAGGGCTCCGAATAAACCATTGCAAAAATTTAAGTCTCAGTCGGTGTCGAAGAATGGCGTCAAATTCCGACGAGTGTAAATCTTGTGAGGCTAAGTGAAATGCTGTTCCAATAATCAGGATCCAAAAACATTGACAACATATTTTATAACATGACAAACGTCAGTAGGTTTTTTCCGAGTCGGAGGTATAGGTTTCCAGTGGTTTAGGAATTGACAAATCCTCACTATGGCATATTGGCTGTATAGCGGATAGTGCACATGGATACATTTTAATGGACTGTTTTCTCCGATACGCCCTTTCCCTATCCTACAGGAGAATTCATGATGAAATAGCAGTCACTCACATGATCTGACGGCTATCTCTACATGAATGAGACCGCAAAGAGCATCCAATATTTTTTATTTAAGCAGTTTCACAGACCAGGAGCACGCAAATTGCAGTAGATGTGTGGAGCCTAAGATCTCGAACTTTGAAGCCAAAATAGAAATTGTAAGCTTTTTTAACCATGGGAGTCGAATTTTGTCTGCAAGATGCAAAAGTCACCTCACCACAAATATTATAAAAACTGTTCACGTTATTAACACACTTACGAGGCATCTTGCTTGAATGCCATCTTACAACTGACTATAGAAATATTATGCAACACATTGTGTTTATTATGTTACCCTTGAAGGATGACATAATCAACACTTTGTGCTGATTATGTCATCCTTCGAGGGTAAACTTTGGGAGGATGCATTCATATATTGGGAATATCATTTGAAATTTCTGTCTGTTTTTATGACTGTCATTTTGAGTGTGAATTAGCATTTTGGACGAATATTTTTGGCAGTTCACTGACAAATATGGTTATCTTTTGAATGGATTCATGGGTTATAATTTGTTGCTATTTCAGAGTTTCTGAGCAAGAAGTGAAACATAAGCATTTTGAAATTATTCCAATTTTTTAATAAAGAGCTCTAAAACAACCTTTTGCTTTTGGGAATGTGAATTCTTTTATTAACCCTTTATGGCACACTATATTTTAAAGTCAGAATTTCAACAAAAAAGTTGTACACAGTCTATTTAGGCTTAAAGAAGTATACATGTAAAGTTTGGTAAAAATTGCACTTACCGTTTTAATTTTGTGGGTGTTCCATGAGCTGGAACACTGCACTGCCAGAGCTCTTAAAAGTGCGACTAAGCGAGCATTGCAGTGAAACACGAAAATGAGTAGAAGTTTTTGTATAATAATGAAAAAACACTGTATTATGGCTGTATACATGGTTTTCTGGATATGCACAATATTTTTGAATATATATGGATAAATGAGATAAATATGTGTATATACACAAGTCCTATATACAAAAATAATTACAAATTTTTCGATTTCTTAGCTTCGGGAAATTTTTCAAAGCATGTCACACCTTTTTGATAGAAGCACAAACCAACTTTGCGCGTTTTATGCAGCCGGCTTCTGTTCCATGGTACAATATGTTTAAAATTACAAGTAGGAACTTGAGCCTGCATAGAGGGGCCTGGCTGAGATGGATCATCAACCTCCTCATCAGATAAATGAGTTTAATCTGACATATCATCATCGAATTGCACAAGTGGTTCAGGAGCGTATATCTCAGTATCGCTGCTATCCTCATGCTATGATTCAGAATCCGAGGGTAATTCATGAAGAACTTTAAGCTCATCGGAAAGAGTTGGACATCTCAGCGCCATTTTTGGAAAATTAATAATAATTAACTACTAATATTAACAATAAAGAAAATAAACTATAAGACATACACACACAAAAAATATCTACACAATTATTGAAAATAAATGGGAATGAGACTGAAAAGCGACAGCAAAATATTCGCGCAGCTTTAAGTAAGGATGACTCGAGCTACTGATAAAATTCCCGCCTGAAAACTAGCAAAAATTTCAAGATGCCCGTATTAGGGCTTTCATAGCACAAACCACACCTCACCCCTCAGTACTGCTTTGTTTGAATTTATTCTCCCCAAAACAACAGAAACAGAAAACACATACAGCAGATGTTTTCTCCTAAGATCTTAAGAACAGATGTTCTGATGCGTAACGGCATGAGATCACTAAAGGTGCAGTGATCCGGCTGGTGGAACACCCCGTTTTATTCAATGATTCTGTGCATTCTTTTTGTATGAAAAATTTTAAAAAATGTAGAACAAATAATATAGAGTACAGCCATCAAAATTATACTGAAAATTTTTTTCAAACAATTTTTTTTGTATCTAAAAAAATAGGGGAAATTACATGAAAATAAGTGGATTTTAATAACACATCATAGGTGAAAATTCTGGGTTTCTTTGTGATATGCTGCCATCTATTATTTTTTAAGAGTTCAAAGTATATTATAAAGACATTTTTATCCATTTACGGCTGAATTTAACTGTTTCAGAAGTGATTCAAGTTGGGTGTTCCATGTAGTGGAAACACTGAGCAACAAAGGCTTAAATGATTCTAAATTTAGTGACTTATCAACATTTTGGTGATTTTAAGATCAGTTTCTGTGGAAATTTTTTAATTCTGAGATATAAGAATTGAAAATGTATTTAAAAGATAACATTAAAGGGCAAAAAAAGTAGTTTTTCCTGTCGTATTGTAAAGTGTCATTATCCAAACAAGATATAATGCTATAAAGCACTATTTACAAAACAGCTCTTAGCAAAAGCAAAGTAACTAAAGCAAAGTAATTAATTAAAATGTATTTTTAATTTTTTTCATTGTAAGAGTTTTTCTCATGTAATTGTCTCAGTATGTTCAGAGATCTCAGAATATGTGTCTGTTTTCTGTGTAAAATAAATTTTACCATTTTTCCCTTTCAAAATATTTCTGACTTTTTGATATTACAGCATTGGTAGGGGTAATTTTTCTTAAGGATTTTAGACATTGCAGCTTGTAAAGTTTAGAAGGAGTTTGAAGGTAAGATTTAGAGACCCTTTAGATTCTAGAAGATTACAGAAAAATGTGACAAAATGAAAAATATCTCCATGGTATTAACATGTAATGGATATATTTTACAGAAAGTTTGCGATGAATTTCTTACTTTTAGGAGAATGTCTGGAAGAACAATGAAAAGATAATGTTTTACTTCAGATTAATAAGATCTTTTTTCTTAACATATTTATCTTCCCTGTATTTTCTCTACTTTTGACTAAACACAAGCATGGGAAATATCAAAAATGCTTCTAATCTTATCACATGGACAGGCATTATAGAAAGGAATTTTTTCTTAATAAAGAAATTGAAAACTGCCAATTTAAAAGATTCATCTAATATGTCTTAATGCATCATACACAGGGCTGGCACTAGGCATTTTTCACCTCATGCAATATCTGTGGATCTTAAATCCTGCTGCCCAGTGCCTTTCTAAATTCTGCTTCCAATGCCTGCTCTAAATTAAATTTTTGCCATTTGTAGAGCAATTAGCAGTTTTTTCTATACATTCTAAATGCATTTAGTCTTTTTACAGTAACAAGTATTTAATTGAAAAAAAATTGTAAAATGAAAAGGAAACTTATTGAAGAAAGAAACTGAATACATAAAGAGAAAGTTATTCTTCAAAGATATGTACAATTATTATTATTATGGAAATTACCCAGTGTATAATTTCAGCCTTTACTATAATTTTCCAGTTCTATGTTCTCACCAGAATGCAAATCGTTTAGACAGTTTTTAAACTGAGTTTTTTGGAATGTAAGACAGGGCATGTTTCAAAGCTCTGCTTACTCTCTGCATTAGTTCCTGCAGCTCTGATAATTAGTAATATTCATCTGTGCATTATCACTGCCTACGTTTGAATTTATGATGAGAGCATTACTGAGCGAGCTTCAATTAAAATTAAATTGTGTAGTCATTATAATGCTCGTCCATATTTTTAGTTTGAATTTGACTCTTTTTTTTTAATTGCATCACCACAAGCTTTAATTAATTTTGTTAGCATAAGAACATGTCTTTATATTCTAAGTCCTTTTTAAATAAGAGTCTTTTTTAGACCTTTGTCTGACTTTGTAGTTACTTTCAGACATGGCGATAATTTGCTTTACATCTGTTGGGGGGGGAGGCTGGACTATTTAACTTTTACCAGATCGAGTAAACCCTCGGTACATTGTAGATAAGTCGATAAGTTAGGAAACAAAGCATGCACAAACTAATGAGAACATTGGTTTGTATATTAAGATAATTTTCTAGTTATTAGAAAAAGTTCTTAAAGAGAAGGAAATCTATATAAATTAGCCAAAATGTCTGGGAAGGCTTCAAATTAAAAAGACGGATAAATATTTTGTAGAGTGTAGTTGCTACAAAACAAATGTTTTGTAGCTCTTAATGTGTAATTATCCTAATATCGTTTAAGAATCAATGTCATAAATTACATGTATTTTAAACTGTGAAATTTTATTAGATTGTGATTTTAATAGTGGCCATGTAAATCCATAATGACTAAAGTTATCTAACTACCTAATTTAATTATTTATAACTGCTTACCCTTAAAAATTATCTCTGCGTATTAAAGCAAGTTATTGCCTTTCATTAATCCTTACCGTGGTCACAAGATATAACACAAAAAAATGTAAAAATCATGCAAAACTTTTTTTTGGAATCTAGTTTGACTCAAAATAATACAAAACAATTTATCATTGCTGTTACTTAGCGACTTACTGGAACCTTAAAGTATATTAACTGGGTTAAAACCCCTAGAATACGCGAAGCTTCAACACTAACTGCATCACACAGAACCCAAATAACTTTCAAAATATGCAACCATGCCTACATCAGGTCTTTTAGGTTTGTTCTGATGAGCAAGTCTCTTTCTAGTCAAGCAGCAGTGGTTAGAACAGCCAGTCTTTTGTTATGAATCATGTTGATTATGATTCTATTTCTCACTTTAACATATGCTGCTGAACAGAAAATCTACCTGCTATTTGCTAAACATCTAGACTGAAAAGTTGTTAGGGAAACATAAATAAAATGTCACTTATCTTCTTTCAAATATGTCCAACTATTATAAGTATAAAATATTTAATGCTACTTGATAAATTTCATAGAGTATTTTATTCTCAAACTTATTAATAATTATGTTATGTTTAATAGTAACGCATCCTACTTACGGATCTATTTTATTTCTAAGATGGTATTTACAAAGGTAAAGTTCAGGCATAGATAATATTTTTAATTGAATATTTTCAGTTGCTGTTTGCTTGTAGGTCCTTAATTTTTTTCATTAATGACCCTTAAAAGTACTTAATTTTCATGTGGAGAAATGTGTACAAACCCTGGTGACCAGTGTTATTAATAAATTTTAATACATTTAATTTTAATAACTCATTATTTAATAGATTAAATTTTATTTTTAGCTTCTGCGAAGTTTCCAGTTAACTGTGGAAGTCGACCCACAACATCACCCAAAAATTATTGGTCGTGGAGGAGCTATAATTTCAAAGATAAGAAAAGATCACAATGTAAATATTAATTTCCCAGAACGTGATGGAGCCAATGATCGAATTATTACCATAACTGGGTATGAAAAAGACGCTGAAGCTGCCAAAGAAGACATCCTAAAATTAGTGCAAGAACAGGTATGTGCTGATTCTGTAAATGCTATTTATTCAGTTTTAATTTGTTTCAAAATCAATATACATGCATATTATAATTTTATATGCTGAAAATTTCTAGCTAATTTCTTTATGGAAAAGAATTCCGTTATTACTAGATTCAAAAACTGGTTCCCAATGGTGTGGGTATTCTCCGAGACTAATAATTGACTATGTGATAGCAATTGATCAGTAAAAGTAGTCACTTCTTTATTACCTACCATCTCAGAAGTAAGATGCTCAGCATTTGGGCTCTCCTTTTTTTTTTTTTTTTTCTTTCTGCATTGACAGCATTTAATTCTGCAAAATATTCAGAATGAGTTACTTACTGTTTTAAAGCTGTGCATAAAGTATAAGCTCTGTGAAAGCTGTCTTTTTCTGCAATGATGATAGTTACAATAATTTGAATCTTCACATAAAAGTGTACTGGCTGTTCAAGGGTGATGTTGCAGTATTTTGTAGTAATAGATATTTTTAATGTTGTGGAATTTTCTCTTGAAGTTGATAATCTTATGGCAACACAATAAATAAAATTTATAAAAAAATCTGCTTTACTTATAGATTCATTTTTAAATGCCACACAAAAGAAACTGCAAGGAAGAGACATCAATGTCATTGAAGCTAGAAAGATTATTTTTGATTTTCATTCTAAAATTAATTGACTTGTTTAAATAGACACTGAATCGGAAAGAATTTCATTACTTTGATAGCTTAATGCTTGTATCCATTATTGAAAAGTATTGCATTCCCTCAGATGACATATTGTTGTATACAAGTCACTTGCAGAATTTAAAAGAAGATTTTATTGTTCACTTTCAAGACATTGGAAATTTGAGTGCGAGAGTGGGGCTCATAGAACTACTGAAATGCAATATATGTCATCTTGATATTATGATGCTAGAAGAGTTGATTGCATTCAGGGAGGATATTCAAGCACGAATCTTATTCAAAACACATGGATATGCTTAGTTTTGAAATGTCAGTCATCCGATAGAAATATCTTGATAAAAGTTGTTACTGAAGCAATGTCATTGATCTTAATCTTTTTACCCAGCGGAAGCAGGCTTTACTTAAATCAGTTATTTATTACAGAAAACCAATAGATTGAATATTTTTGAACAAGAATTTAAGAATTAAGTTCAACAATTTTGTACCCAGTGTTAAGAGATTTAAATATCAATACATCAAGCACAGTCATCATATTATATTAACAGGGAACTTTTGTTCAGTTAAAATCTGATTTTCTTTCTGTAAACGTGTGTGTGTATTTGTTATATTAAAAATGTTAATACAAAAAATAAAACATTTAATGAACCATTTTTTTTCAAAATCTTTGTTCGTATTCTTAATCTAATTGTTATGCTTAATCCTCTGAGTGATGTGATTCATGAAGACCTGTATTTAAACAGCATTTATTAGCTAAATTTGTGTAATTGCTTATTATAGTCTCTATTTTCATAAGCTTACATTGATTAAGATGGTATTTACATTGTTAAAGCAAGAAAGCAGACTGTTAATTTTTATTTAAATTTCATTAATTTTTTTGAATTGGTGTATTGCTTGTTTGAAAAGTTTTAACATTTTTTAAAATTCTTTGTAACATTTAATGGATTTGGATGTGTAGTTAACCAATAAATTACAAAATGTAAAACCTAAAATAGAACATTAGAAATGTGCTCTAAAAGCAAAAGGAGCAAGTCCTTTTTAACCCAACTAAGAATCGGTCACACACAAGGCTAACACCAGTATGTGCTGAATGGAGTCCTGTTTTAACCATTAAACACATTTTAATTGATTGTCCAAATTTTAATCCCTTTCAAAATTTTGATTGTAATATTTCTGAGATTTCAGCAAAAGATTTAGTTGAAGAAACACATTTTTAACTGCAACGTTGCAAAAGCTGCAACGTTTTACCACATTATTTGAATGCCCTGAATTCATTGAATTTCAGATCTAACCGGGATCTAGTTATAATCATATCATCAAAATTTATCCTTCGATTATAAAGTTTTCTATCTTTATTCCATAACTTTCATATCCTAGTTCTTCGTAAAAGAATTTTATGTGTTTGATTTTATTTCAGGTTTTATTATACACTTCCTATTTTATACCTATATGTAATGTCTTGACATTTGTTAGTATGTACTGAATGGTGCATGTGTTCTTGTCTTTATTTTAAGTTTTGGAAATGCACAATCCTTTGTTTGGTACAACATAGCCCCCATGGGTTTTGGGTTCAGTTGCTGGGTGCCCCATGAGCAGACTCAAGCAGATAAGGATGGATGTGTTCGAGCCTGCACTAATCTGCTTAAGTATCAACGCAAGGACAAAATTCTTAACTTGATCATCTACTTCAACAACACATGCCGAAAAACGGGATTAGTCTGTGTCTGGTGAGCCAGTCGGTAGCATCGTAAAGTGCAGTTTGGCTAATAAAAAGATCTTTCTTTGCCTCTAGTGCGATTGTCCTGATTTTATCCACAGAGAGTATCTGGAAAAAGATAAAACTCTTGACAGTAAGGTGTACAGCAAGATGCTAGTCCATGTTGACAATGCTATCAAGAAAAAACATCAAACTGAGTTCTGTTGCAAAAAGGTAATTCCATTAAGATAATGCAAGACCACGTGTGTCTCCAATCACCGGCTGGACTCTGTACAGATTCAAATGAGACTTTTTCCCACACCCACCATATAGCCCCACATCACTCCTTTGGACTTCTACCTTTTTTAACAATTGCAGCTACATCTTGCTGGTACTATCTTCCATTATGCACTTGACATCCGAAATGAGGTTGATCTGCTTTTGTACACGCTGCCACCAAGTTTATGGGCAGAAGTACTCATAAACCTACCTTAAGTTTATGGGCATAGTATGAAAAACTACTAAAATATTGGCAGAAAATCATAGATTTGGGTGATGATTACTAACCATACTAAAGATACTGCTTTCATGTTTCTTGTTTTATTAAGGATGGTTTTTGGCAGAAAACTTTCTTTACAACCAGATATTTAAAAATATACTTCAATATTTAGATTTTGGCTTTACACTGATGCATTATTTTAGAATGTACAGCTGTCTCCTTGGAAACAAATGCATTTACTGATACTTTTTTTTCATCAAGTCATCTATATTATGCAAGTCTTTTTGATTAAAATAACTATCTTAAAAAAAAAAAAAAACTGGTTTTTTTTAATTTATTTATTTATTTTCTTATATGCCTTTTGCTTTTAATTTATATAGGAAGATATGTATAAGGAAGAAGTACAAATTGATTCCCGCATCCATTCTCGTATAATTGGAACTCGAGGCCGTAACGTTCTGAAAATAATGGATATGTATAAAGTTGATATTCGCTTCCCTCGACCATCTGATCCTGATCCAGATCTGGTTGTAATTCAAGGAGCTGAAGATGATGTATTAGATGCTAAAGATCATCTTCTGAACTTGGAAGAGGAATATGTAAGTTTTATGAAATTTGGTTCTTTTCACGATTATTTTGAAACTCCTTATATAATATTTTTAAGCATCTGCAAGCAAATATGACACAGTTATTTGGTGAGATTCTAATTAAAATGAATTTTCAAAGTATTAAAATTATCAGCAGTCTGGTTGCTCATTAATAGAGCTCAATACAAGGGACAATGAGTAAATTTTAAACCTGACATGTTGGTATGAAATAAATGACCAAAAGAATTTGCTCTTTCGCTAGTTTTCTTTGGTTTTAATGAGCTTAATCAGCTAAGTGTTGAATTCTGTATTAAGTTTTACCACAGTTCTGACATCCTGTCCGATAATTTTCTCTATCATCATTGTAAAATGAACCACAGAAGTTGCTGTTCAGTTTATGAAATAAAAGTTTGGATCTGAGGCTGGTGGTAATAGAAAGGAGAGAAGCTAAAACCTGCTTTGTTGAATAACACTTGAAAATTCGAGCCATGTGTGAGATGCTTTGTTAAGCTTGCAAAAACAGTCTGCTGAGTTTCATTTGTTTTTCTTTCATAGGGTGTCATAGTTGGGTCACAAATTTAATAATGGACAATGGTAAAAATAGCGCATAACACAACCAACCATTGCCATTCCCTCTGTTTAGCTTGAACGTATGTATTTGAAAAATTTTAAACTGATATAAAATTAACCCTTTGGGTACATTTGATGAGTGAGACCCGTCATCTGCTTACAGATTCGTCCACCGTAATCAGTGTTGTAACTAAAATGCTGTTAAAAAATATTTATATCGCCAGTATAAGTATATTCCAAATAAAATGCATTACTTTTACATATAAATCCATATAGCAACAAATTAAATCCATCCCATGGGCATAAAAATCTTCAAATAATTCAGTAGTCAAAGGGTTAAATGTATTACATAATCTCCCTACGTGACGAACAACAGTAAAAAACAAATCATCAGGTACAAATTTTGATGAAAAAATGGCACTGAAAAATATGAATTTACAGAAATGCAAAGATGTAAAGGGCCGTTTTGCTGATTAATTAAAAGGAGAGCTAAATTATGCATATAAATCTATATGCCAAGTACAAAAGCAGTTTATTTCAGCATAGCAAATATCATAATGTGATGATGTGACAAAACATTTTTGTAATTTTTAGAAAATTGATGGAGATATAATCAGTGTATTGTAGACATAATTGATAAAGGTAACAATCCTATAGTATGTAATATGTGCACATAAAATAATTGCAAGATTTAAGATTATAATTACTTCACTGCAGCAGAAAGTTAGGATTGTTGCATTTTTATAATATATTTTTGTAGATAAATGAATCATTTTTGACTTGAAATATCTCTATAATATTGTGTTTAAAGTTTTATGTAAATTAAAATCTTGACTCATTTTAGTTGAAGATTTGTGAAAACAATTTGTTATTGTTATTTTCATTAAGATTTATCACCTTTATTTATTCTGCCTTAAAATACTAATTTTTTCTTAATTAAGGAGACAGTGGTAAGAAAAATAATTTGTATCCTTATTGTTCAAATGATTCAAAATTATGAACTTATTTTACTTTGATATGTAACTTTTAAACACATTTATTTTAATATTCAGCTTCAAGATATGCGAGACAGAGATTCTTTGAGGCAGTACACGGCTCCTCCAAGTCGCAATGGTAACCAGGAATCGGATAATCGAACCAACGACAAAGGCTTTGTTGTCAAAGGTGCCCCTTGGGACAAGAGGAAAGATGCAGCTCCAGATACCACTAATACTCAAGAGTTCCCGTCCTTCGGCTCCGGGGGAGATATGCCCCCCAAGCCAGTTGCCTGGGGCCCCTCACGCCGCTAAAAATTATATTTTCTGCAATTGATTCTGCATCTCCTTTTTGGCATATAAAGGAGTTAGGAACTTTTGCATAGATTTTTGAATCTCCTAGTGCCACACCTCTTGCGTAAAAGGCTCTCTGATATATGTCCCCAGAAATATCAAATAATTTGGGCTGCTGCAGGGTGATGGTTATTTTTTTAGCTCTTCTGTCCTGGAAGGTCTTTTTCAGTTACTGAACTGTGCATGGAATTGTTTTCATTGTTAATTTTTTTATAGTTTTATCCTGAAAATCTGTCAGAAGGCACGATAATGAGAAATTAAAGAGTACAAAAATTATGCAATCGGTATGGTTTTCAGTAAAGCAATAAATAACTGAACTGTAAAGAACTTTATTTAATCATGAAAATGAACTTATGCAATTTTTATTCTTGTGCTATAGTGATAATTATCTGATTTAATTCAGTGTGATAAGGTGCTATGAATGTATAATTTTTGTAAGGTCAAGAAGCAAAAAAAATTGGCCTGTTTGCTGAGCAATAGAATTTTGGAATGAAATTTTTGCATATCAAATTTTTTTGAGGTGTTGCGCCTGGGGTTGTTTAAATGATGCAGATCTGTTTTATCTGGTCCTATGCAAATGTTCATTGAAGCCAGGTAAATTCTTTGTATATTTCTTCAGAATTGTATTATAAAAATGAATTAAAGGAACTCTTTCCAGTAGTTGTATTTTCCTATTTGTTTGAATTTGTCTTATTGCTTTATCTGATACACAAATTCAAAATAAAGTACATTTTTTCAAAATATTGTATAATGTGAAATATAAAGAATCATTGAATATTTTTTGCCTTCTAACTGAAACCAAATCTTATTTTCTCTCATATTTATCAAGATGTAAGTTAAGATGCAAAGTTTTAAACCTGATACACTTCTAAAAGAGACAAATATGATATTTTTTTCCATTGTAGTACCTATGTATTTTGACAAAAAGTAATATTAAGATAAAAAGTATTATTAAGAATTGTTAATAAAATATTTAACTGCAATCTATCTTTTTGTCTCATTAAATCTTCCACAGAGTTCATACTTGAATTAAGGAATCTGAAATTTATATCTAGAGGGGTACTGCACTGTTCTGAAATCTTTTTACTGCTTTGTCAATGACATCTCTAAAAGCTTCAACGTAATAATGAAGACGACAAAGTTCTCAATTCAGCATCCCCCCCCTGTTTAATTTCTTTGTGCAGTTCAAAAAGATTTCTTAATATTTCCATTATAGTCATGTTTCTTTCTTTAAAGTGCATCTTGAGGATCACTTCGCAGTCCTGAAAAATTTATGTGCCTTCATCTCCTGCAATAATTGGCTATAAAAAGTTCTCCGATTTTCACTGTTAAATTGCAAGAACTTCTTGCAATAATCAATATTCTGCTATTTTCATGTGTTGACAGAAGTTGGAGTACTCTCTGTGGAGACCTTAATCATTTGAAGATTCTTATGTAAATCACATAGAAATTGCAAATTTGTTGTTTTAGGAAGACCCAATTGTGGCATTGTTTCCTTCGTCAACCATTTAATTTCTTCCTGAAAACAGTGTCTGATGTCAGTGCCTTCAATGATCAACATTGACAAGAATCATCTTATATGAAATTGTTTTGCCTGTTCTTTCACTGTTTAATATGAAAGAGAGGCATCATCATAAGAATCATTAAAATATCGTTTTATTGCAAATTAGGATTTCTACCTTTTTAGTCAAGCACAGTACACACTTTAGAGAATCATGCAAAGACGGGTCCCAAAAGAATTAAAATGGCTGTAAGAATTTCAAGCACTACATGTGTACAAGGAAAAATTATCACTAAAGGATTTTTTAATTGGGAAGTTGTGAACTTTTGAATTTTACCGTATACATAAAGTTAATGCATTTTTAGCCAAAATTCTATGCAAGTGTAGCCATTCTGAGGAAAGTTCCAAATCCTAAAATAAGATCACATATTAAGTATAAAGACTTGATGACATTTAGATGAAAATAATTTTATTTTTGCTTAACCATTGTCTACAAAAAAAAAATAATAATTATTATTATCTCAGTTGATTATATTTAACATTTGTTTAAGAAATGCAGTGTTAAATTTTACTAGAGAATGAAGAAAGTGAATTGTTTTAAAAATAATTTTTTTCATTACATATAAGATTTTCTTGCTTTGTTGTTCTATCGTTTTTCATTAAGTATATTTATGAGAAGTAAAGAGCGTTGAACTCATTGTTTAGATGTTATTGCAAGTCATTTGGATAAATGGTTGTGTACTCTGTAGACAAAATACAGTCAAAAGTCATTAATTCGGACACCCATAATACGGAATGATCTATAATCCGGACCTCAAAGCTACAAACTTTCTGTGCATGCATCGCGTTGATGCGTGCTCGTAAGACCTTTACGGCTGCGAATATGCGCGTGCACAAAATACGTTTACGAATGTGCCTTTAATGTATAACGGACGGTATAAGCTAAGCTAAAATTATCTAATTCAGTTAATGTTGCAGATTGTGTTGTTCCGTAATCTTCGAATTGGATTCGGCTTATTATTTTTTGCAGACTGTTAGAGCAATTTTATAAAAGTAAGCTTGAACTTTCGATTACGTCAAATAAAATTTCTGATATATATTTACTAATGTGTAAAGGATCTACAAAAGCGAAAGTATGTTTCGAAGTCCATTAAACAAAAAGTGGAATTGCTGCAAAAAATGGATAAAGGCATATCCTTTGTTTATCTAAACTTTAACGTATGTTTATCTAAACTTTGTTTATCTTGAATGCTGTGGCGGCGCACAATGAATTGGAAGTTGATCTGTCAGCACTATCCTTATCTTCAGGGCAGATGTTTTTATTTTATTCGGCTTATAATTCCTTATTAAATATAGTATTTCATCTCGATTTACTCCAAATCAAATTCCTCGTCATTATAATTCGCTTCCAATAGCAAAGAAAGTGACAGAGGTTGTTAAAAATGAAAAAATTTTGATTGACAAATTAGTCTGTATTCTCGACACAGCAATTATAGGATTTGAACAGCGGAACTTTGTAACTGAACAAGAAATTATGTCTGTTTATAGAATTAAAAGAAATGTATTATCACATAAAAACAAAGCAACTTAAACAACTTACATTGAAAGAAATGTTTAATAAAGTAAACAAATAAATATTAAGCTTTTTTTTTATAAATTTTGATACCCTTTAGATCATAATTGTTCTTTATTTCATAAATTACGGTTTTATATTTTTAATTTTATAATTTCTGCATGCCATCTTAAGAGATTTAAACTGATGATCTATATTCCGGAAAAATCGATAATCCGAAGTCCCGACGAGTCCGGATTAACGACTTTTGACTGTACATACTTTGTGTAACACAATGAGGTAATTTTATTATTTTGTTGATTTTCAAAGATTATGCAATTAAAATGATTAACTTCATAATGACAAAAAAGACTGCTGTATTGTCAAAAATTGCATACTGCAAACATTGTAATATGTACCAAAAATTAAAGTATAAGACAAAAATCTTTTGTGTGAAAAAGGGAATTGGCAGAACGTCCCATTTGCTTATATGTTGTATGAAGCCTTATATCTAGTATATAATTGCTGTTCCATTAAAATTAACTATGTTGAAACACAGTCGATTTTAATGTTGCAGATATTAAATCTAAATGTAATAGTTTCCTAAAAATATCTATTACATTGAAGTTAAAAAAAAAATGGATAAAAAGCTAGGTCTAGGAAGATATTTGATCTGAATAATTGCTATTCTGAATGTATATTTTTGGGAGGAAATTAATAACTTTTATTGGGATTCTAACTCCTGAAGTGGGATGAACAATCGAAGAAAATAAAGCCGCCTAGCCTTGACCAAAAGTGTCATTTTTAGTTAGGTTATGTTAAATACTTTTATTGAACAAATAAAATCCATTATTAGTTTTGATGGAGGGGAGAAAATTTCCCTTGTATGTTTCACATATACATACTTGTTTTAAAAACAATGTTTAGCTGTTATTGGCTTAATCAAATGGTTAAGGTTTAATATATTTGTTACATTTTGAATTATATAAAATTGTTTAATTTATGTCATTTTAATAAGCAGCTTAACCAGTATAGTAATTGATATTTTTAAAAAAATATAAAGAATTGGATTGCATTTTGTGAAAAATTTCATTATCAAATGAGTTCAGCGTTTCATCAGTTATTTGTAACTGCTGTCATCCCCCTCCAACACCATGTTTCCTAGGATACATTGTTTCTAGTCATTTTGAAATAAAATGCTGTATTTTGTTTTGAGCGGAATGAACATAATTTTTACAGCGTCATATGTATGCACACATAAAATATTTTCTGGTTATATAGAGAATTTAACACATCTGCTGCCAGGGTAAATATATGAAACTTCAGCAGAAGCCATGCTAGTTTAAGGAATGAATCTTAAAGATGTTGCCATGTCTTTTTTCCATATTGCACTATTTTCTTCCTATGTATCATATGAGGTGTGACACACACACACACACACCACCAAAAAAAAAAAAAAAAAGAGACAAAGTGTGTAGCTTGAAAAATTGAGTGGAGTTCGCAACAAATGTTTTTGTGACATCATCCCACACGTCTCTATCCATGCGGCCAGTTTCAACTTAACCGATCACACCAGTTGGGAGTATTGCGTCAATGAGTAAACATGTGCAGAAAAATTTTATGTAAAAACCAAACAGCGAATCAACGTTAAGTTTCGTGTGAAACTTAAGAAATCGGCCACGAAAACATTTCAAACGTTAACGGGGGCTTATGCAGATAAAAACTTTGTCTTCGTCCATGTGCGTTTGAGGGGCATAAGCAGTTTTCAGTGTGAAGGGACAAAGTATACTTGGCGGTCTTTATTGCCTTCTTCGATATTAATGGAATTGTAATGATTGAGTGGGTAATCAACACTATCACACTGAAGTATTAAAAAGACTGTGAAAAAATTAATGTAAAAAGGCCAGAGATGTGGAGTGATGGATGGCTGTTGCACCAGGACAATGCACCCGCTCACACAGCCTCTATCTGTCGAGCAGTTTCTGACCACAAAAACATTACTGTGATGGTGTGTCCTCCTTATTCACCTGATTTGACTCCGTGCTACTTTTTAAAAAATTTCCTAAAGTTAAATCTTGCTTAAAGGGAAGCCATTTTGTTGAAGCTTCAGTTGAAGAGGTTCAGGTAAAAATGGAGAATCTCCTGAAGGGCCTTCCAAAAACCTTGTTCCAAAACTGTTACCAGAAATAGCAGCACCGAATGCTGAAGGGGACTACTTTGAAGGTGATAATGTCAGAGAACTGATCTGTAAGTACAATGATTTATTGGACCAGTCTTTTTTTTTTTTTCTTGTGTCACACCTTGTATGAGTATTCAAAATTGACTGAGGGACATATTCTTTATCTGAGAAACTAAAACAACTTGTACACTTAACCGATAAATTGTCTTTTAAATCTTTTAGTAGTTTTTTGTTAAATATTTCATTCTTGTGTCTTCTTCCTTTAGGATAAGAGGGCGGTGGTAAATTGTCATTTATATAATAAAATTTTGAGCAAAAAAGTTACATAAAAAAGTGTAAAACCTGACACAAAATACTAAATTTACTGCTATGCGACTACACACACCCCTCGGACATAATGCTGACCAACATAAAAGCAAACTTCATGGATGACAAACTGTTT